TCCACCCTCCTCCTCCTCATTTTATTTGCACCCCCACCATTTCTGATGTCACCACTTCCTATCCGCTTCCGTCGCCGATCCGTTGACTACCACGTGCCACTGCTGATATCAGCAAAGCCCCGGCGGCCGGTCCAAATAGGGCAACAGGTCCATCTTCATGACGTCAATCTGCCATCATATACCATCAAAACATCGGTCGCTCGTCTTGCCTGGTTGGAGTGTGGGTGGGTAGTTTTTGAGCTGGAGAAGGTTCATCCCCTTGCGTCGCCCATGTTCATCGCTGTCCCATTCACTTGGGTACACTTATCATTTGTCCATCGTCTTCGCTACAGCTACACCTACCACACGCTGCCTGGGACTCACTTGTTCCAAATTGGAACTACTCCTCTCCCTCCCTCGTTTGATCAGGTGGTCCAACACAACCAGTCCATTGGTAAGGCCATGGAACTGTCAGATTTGGACTAGGTGGTGGACCGGTGGCTCCAGTTTCTTTTTTTTCAGCAGAACATTCATTTACAGTGCGATTATTTTTGATTTTTGAATCATTTTTATGGACACATATTTTTTTAGAATGCCTGACTGACAATAAAGGAACTGTGTTGATACTGATAGTGTTTTGCCTTGCCCTTTTTTTTACTGCATCTTCCCATGACATCATGATTTTCCTGCTCTCCTTTTGCTATTGGACTTTACTTTATGGCTGTACAAACCTGTGATATTACTCACAGCATTTATTGTTCTATCCCTTTCTTTTCTTTTTTTGACAATCTTATCCTGTACTACCTACGCAGGATTCGTCAGCGTACATTCCTTCCTTCATATTCTTTCTCATTCTTTTTGCACAGCTATACTGTGCATAGCCTACTTCTCTTTTACTATATAAACCCCTGTATTTTACCTTGTAAGAAGAAAAAGAAATCCAATCCAGACTTCTTCTCTACTCTCAAGTTCACTACTCTGCTACTTGTGATCCAGTGTGGTCACAACACTTCCCACTTCTACCACTGTCAACTGCTGTCATCATCACTTCCCACTTTTGAAGTCATTGTCATCCCTTTCGATTAGAGTCCTTCTGAGCACTACAGTTTGTGCGTCAGGAGCCTGCTATCACTGGGAACCTCGTCATATTGTCGTTCTCAAACCTACCTTGTGCTACGATTAGCAAGGTAGTGCTCGTCTATACTCGTCACAAAGCCCCTATCCTTCTATAAATTCAACTATCCCTCCTCCTCAAAACCCACACTCATACACCTCTGGGTTTTACTTTGAAGGATCTTTATATGTACCACCCCACGAACAACCAGACCACTCCACTGTTCTAGGAGGCAAAGCCCATAAACAAGTTCCGTGGAATCTGGGAGGATTGTGTGTTAGTTTGTTTTGTGTGTGGTTTTCTAACAACAGTTCTCATCATCGACAGCGTGACTGGATTGCCTAATAGAGGTGGTGCTGATCAGCCACAAGTTCAAAAAAGGCAATATTAATTACTATTCCATGTGGCACTATGCCTGTGTGGCGCAAAGGCGAGTCTTTTTGAATATTCGCTTCATTATTGACACCTGTCCATGCTACCAATCAACTTTGGTGCATGACAGCGCTTGGTATCGCGCTGTTCCTTGTTATCCGCCATCCTCTGCATCTGTTCCTTCACACCATTGATTGCAGCGGCGCCAGAAGAACATGGGGCTTTGCTTGGGGTGGCAGAGATTACAGAGGTACTATCAACGGCCGAATACTTGCGTTTTCCGGAGGACGTGATGCCGACAGATGCGCTAGTTGTAACAACCAAGAGTTAGTTACTCTGGCGCACACAGAACACACTATAAGGAAGATGATGAGGGAGTGGTTACCCTTTGAGCTGCAGAGAGTTTGTTAGTATACAACAGGAGGACTCGCTGAGGAGTCTCCTGGATTTATTCAGTTATATATACTATTACAGGATTGTTTGTACATGTGTACTATACAGTTGATGGAGACAGTGGCTGATGATGTCATGGGGCCTAGCCCGCCCGCATGGCCAGCTCCACTGTGTGAGAGAGTTGCGTCCATAATAAGAAGAAAGGCAACGCGGCGCGAGAAAGGAGAAGTGCCGCGTGGCACCATGTGTGAAAGCTAAAGTACAAGGTTAAAGCGGAGAATAAAAAGAAAGGGAAGGACCAAAAATTGTGTTATCGTAACACTAGTAGGTTTGGAGTGGATAGATGACACATACAAGGTGCCGGATTCACTCCCACTCTTTCCCTTGTCTTTTCTGGCGCTAAAAACTGCCTCTCTTTCAATTGCCTCTCTTTCCGCACCCTCTTCATCACCTTCGTCCTCTCCATCCTCATCCTCTCCATCCTCCCCTCCATCATTGCCTTCAGCATCCACATCCATCCTATCTTTACTCGCTGAACTGATCTTTGCAGATTGTGCTTGAGATGCACGGAAAATGTGAGTCCCTTTTGCCCGGCTTGGTAGAATAGCTGTGATCAAGTCATACCACCTCCACCCATCCGAAGCTAACCGGTTGTAGGTTGACTTAACATCTTTTGACTTGCTCTGCAAAAAAAAAGGTAAGCCCGTCCCATACCTGCTAAGGATAAAGATGCTCACTTTGAGGAAAGCATCCCAAATGTGCCTGTTTGCATCAGTAATCTTCAGTCCACATTGTACGTCAAATCCAAGCCCGGAAGTGTTCATCAACTGATCTACACAACTAAGCTCCTTCTTTAGCTGAAATAGCAATTAGCAATGAAGCTTTAAATGTACTTCTACTACTAATGCTGAACCATTTGTTACGGATTGAGTCGGCTGTTTTGGTGGCTCCTTTTGTTGTTAAAGGAGCCAGAATGCCCTCAGCCAGGTTATAGAACTAAGGCTTATACCCCCCAACCTCTCCAAGCAGGCCAACATGCTCCTCAGCAAGTTCAACCAATTTTTTGGTGTCGCTTTCTGCCCAGATGCACTTCAGCGCCTTTTTTTTCTTCTGTGAAGTGGTTGTGGTTGTATCTGTAGATTTATTGAGGCCAGACATCCTTAGGGAACACAGAGGGTATCGTTGAGTGACCTTAGAGTGTCTTGGGGAGGTTCTTTGTGCCATCAATGCAGCTGTTTTACACGATGACTAGTAGCTATCTTTACTCCCATCTCCTTGAGGCATGTGCCCTTCACCCCATGCACATTCGGCGCTGGGAATGAAATTTGGCACACTCCGTCAGCCACTCGGCGCATCAAAAATCATAGCCATGGTTTTGGTAATTTTTATTCCCGTACATGCTCTTAGTTTTGCTGGCATGGTTTTTTGTGGCACCAAGGGTGTGGAAGGTGCCGCAGGCACCTGACAGTTGCAGCAAAGCTGTGACAAGTGCAACTCGTCCATAGACTTGAGCACTTCATACTTACTTGCTTTCCCTTGCCCAGTGTGCCGAGCGGAATGTAAACCCGACATTTGTGACATTCTACCGATTCCAGCCTCATAATAGTGGGAAGCACACGTGACCGCCCGCTATGATTTGGCTTTGTATTTGGGTGGGTTGGGCCTCTTGAAGCCGTCGGCTCAGGGTTTCTCTGATTCTATCCCAAAATAGCTTCTGCAAACGACCGGACGAAAAGGGATGTGGGGACGTGAGATCGTCCGTTGTAACCGTGCGCTGAGACCTTCGACGTGGAACAGTATTCGAAGCAAACGGATCAGTCAGTACGGGTATACGGAAGCAGGTGAGGGACTCGTAATCCAAAACAAACATTACAGCTAGTGTTGGCCTCTACATTAGTGCTTTCGTGAGCCATTATTAAATGCTATCGACGTCTAGGCCTAAAGGACGCGACAAAAGACTGCAATTTGCACGTGCTATCAATCCCTCTCGCGAGCGCGGTACAACTCCCTATAATCCTCATTCTTGATCCACGCGGCAAAGGAACCTCCAAGTTATTTACGGCGTCACCCGGTCAATCCCGAGACGAGCTATCTCCTTCAAAATGTGCTGACCGTTTCTCCTCCGCGATATGTCACATATGCTGCTCCTTCACCTTCCTTGACGTTCCGCACATTGTCAAAGTGATATTACTTCACCCCACTCAGGACCACAGCCTAACACAGCCTGGACTCCTTGACTTTACCATCTTGCATCTGTCAGTTTCTGTCAACATGTCTATGGTTCTCAGGGAACAAAAGCCGTAACATTTTCCCACTGGCGTCATTGCTTCTTTCTACATAGAAGAGTGGTAGTGATAGAAGCGGTAAGAAAGGCTTTTAACGCATTCGAATCATCAGGTAGAGAAGGCAAAACAATTCAGATGGCCGACTGACGGTCCTCCTGTTCAGATTTTGCTGGGAATCATTCCAGAAGGGACTGTACCCCATTTTTGTGTCGCAACCAGTAAGTCAAATATACATATCTAGCTCTACCCAGATCGCCTCATCGCTGAGCTGTTTTTCACTAGAAATACTGAGAGCAGCCCAGGTGCTGTTGACATGGCTGAGTCTGGTCTTACAGGTGTTAGGTGTTAGGTCGAGAGAGCTGTGTCGTCATGGAACATGACTGGCATGCGACGCCGTAACGGTATATTTTGCATCAATGATATGCTCACGCAATTACTTAAGCCTTCGACAGATGCTGAAAACTGTATTTACCCATCAACCAGCCAGGTTCTTCCGTCGTCTAGGATAGTGCTGTTAACCAATGGCAGGATAACAGTCACGGCAGATACCGTAGCTGTGTCTGATCATCAACAGCAAACGCATTGCATCGGTCAACTCAGTGGGCTAACGTTTACCCTTCCATGGTCGGACGTGCACATATAGGTTCGAGAATTCGAGGTAAAAACCTAGTTCGAGCCCCCCAGGGCCTCATCGTACAGCTCTCGGCCTGACGGCAGCAACCAAATTTTCAGTATGAACATATCCCTAGACAAGGCCGAAATCCTCGCATTGTTCCTGGAGACTTTTCTCTATGGTAAAACGCCAACTAGATTTTTGATATTAGTAGCTAACTTAACTTTGCCACTCAGGTATCTTTTTTACCCTGTATTGGATATCGGTGATTGTCCTCCTTCATAAAGGGCAGGCAGGGTATATTCAGCGGCGTACTCTAATATCCGTTGGGAGTGTTATGCTGGTGCTGTCAACTGCGGTGAGCTAGATCCGGCCGATGCCCCCTTGCGCCTGATGACGAGGCTCATGGGGTTTTTTCTTCTTCGACTATATAGCACCTTATCATCGACTTCTTACGAGCTGTGATAGCTTTCACCCATACTTCCGAGGGAGGTGCAAACGAGTACTATTCAAATCTTGCCAGTCCATTGGAGACCGCCAAGACCGTGATATATATTACACTGACCATCCTTGGCGACAGCGTTCTGGTAAGTTTATAGTTCAGTTGTTTACGCGCCAGATTTCAGCTATGATATTAGATATGGCGCTGCTATGTGGTGAACATGAGGAGCATTTGGGTAGCTATTCCGTATGGAGTTCTTCTTGCAGTCAACACTGGTAAGCTCCCACTGGTGTTTATCCCACAAATACCTTTAATTGATCTTACTTAGCTGTTGGGTATATCATTGCCTGGTCGCTTTCGCAAGCAGGGCCCGATCAATCTGTATTTCAAACTGGAACTCATTGGATCCTAACATTCTTTACTTTGACCATGTTCACTAATGCGACCTGTACAGGTAGGTTCACTCTCGAACCAAATTTTATCCTCGTCGTGTAACTTACCTCGATCTACCGCTTAACAGTTGGGATTGCTTGGCGCATCTATTATACTCGTCAGTTTGTGAAGGGAATAGCCAACTTATTACCCATCTCAATTGTCATCATGGAAAGTGGTGCTCTATATACCTCTAGTATCCTGGCGGTACTTATCGCGTATGTAACTGGATCCAACGGGCAGTACCCCGCTCTGGATGTTTGTGCGCCAGTTGTGGTATGTTGCCACTTCTTGATCGCGACTTACACTGACCGCAATAATATTGTTCCCCTGTTAGGGCATAGCCTTCTCACTCATTACTCTCCAAATTCGCTTCCATCTAGGTGGCAGCGGTACCCCATCCAGCGACTTCGGTGTCTCTACAGCTAGGTCTTTCCCTAGTGCGCTCCGTACGCAGTGGAGGCGACATAGTGCACGAAGCGAGGAGAGCAAAGATATGCAAATTCTGAGCTATCCGATGCAGCCCATGACCGTTCACATTACGGAGCAAACGGAGATAGGCGACCCAGAAGGTGGAGCTCATCTACGGATGATGGGCGAGGAATTTGGGTATTCACACTCTTTTGATCCAGATGTAAAACCAGTAGACGTGCGATAGATGTATTATTTTTGGAATTGGAGTGAGGAAAGAGAACATTGCGACCTGGTGAGGTTGTTTATGGGTGATTAGGATATACGTATGAAGGATGGGATTAGTTCAAGCCACCTCCAAGCTTCGTATACTCCCACGTCCTGGCGTAACCTGCGTTGGTGAAAGTGGGGAGCCAATATTCTTGCTATCAGAGGGTAAAATATACACATTATATATGTCTAACTGGTTGATAAAGTATCAGTAGCTTCCTTGGCTATGAGATCCTGGGCCTTTTTCTGAGAGCCCTTTCCTCTCAACACATTCTCTATAAAGAATTCACCAGCCTTGGGAAAGAGTTAAGAGTGGGAATGGAGGGACAACACCAAAATACTGCTCACCTTATAGCTACTTCTCACGAGGGGTCCACTTGCTACGTATAAGAAGCCCATATCCTCAGCAACCTGCCTCCATCGGTCAAATTCAGCTGGCTCGACGTAACGATCAACCTTCATATGCCGTTTTGTTGGTCGCATGTATTGACCAAATGTAACGACGTCGACGTCGACCTTTCTGAGTTCTGTTCGCAAGGCAGATAAGATGTAGTTAGCTCATAACTATGAGTTGACACTGACCCCGTAAAGCATCCATAAGCTGCTCCTCATTCTCACCGACACCCAACATTATACTCGTCTTGGTAATCCGCACGCCTTCCTTCTTCGCATGTTCTAATACCTTTAAACTTTGTCGGAAAGTTGCTCGCCGGTCTCGTACATATGGGGTGAGGGCCTCCACTGTTTCTACATTATGTGCATATACGTCCAAACCCGACTTTGCTACAGTGGACACTCCAGCCAAAGAGCCGGCAAAATCGCCCGTGAGTGCTTCTACTAGGATATGTGGAGCTCTGAAAAACCGTCAAATCAGCGATGGTGCAACAAGAAAGCAAGATAGGATGAGGTATTCACTTCTGTTTGATCTTTATGATTGTTTCAGCAAAGTGACGTGCTCCACCGTCCGCAAGGTCTTTGACAGATTAGATTAATAACCAGCGAGTTGGAAGTAACCTGCAGAGCTTACCGTCACGATCAACGCTTGTCAGAACAATGTAGCCTAGACCCCATCGACTGATTGCTTCTGCTGTGTTCTCAGGCTCGTGTGGATCTAATGGAGGGGGAGCACGAGAGGTTTTCACCGAACAGAATCTGCAGCCACGAGTACATGTGTCACCCATCAGCTATGAGACAGATAGTTGAAATTTAGATTAGACATAACACGGCAGATGGGGTGAAAAAAAAAATACCATGATTGTGGCAGTGGCAGCCCTTTTGCCCTCTGCTTCGCTCACACCCTCTTTGCCACCCCAACATTCGCCGATATTGGGACAGCGAGCCTCTTCACATACGGTATGAAGACCCAAACCTCTAAGGTCCTTCTTTATCTTGTTAAAGGACGATCCGGAAGGTGGTTTCGTTTTCAGGAAACCAGGTAACCGAGGTCTAGCCCATTCCCATATTCTTGAGCTCTGAAGAGAGAGAAGAGAGACTGCATCTTACCCTTTAGTGTTTCCAAGGACCACACGTTCTGTCACTTCTTCCCCAGATATAAAATCATCTAATGAGGGCCCGCTGGCAAGATTATCACTGAATTTCGGCTTTGAAGATGATGGTGTGGCCAAAGAACGAAGACAGGTTGGTGTCCGACGAATACAAGAGCGTCGTAGAGGATGTAAAAGCGACATTATTGTAGAAAAATGAGAAGGATAGCTGTATGGCGAGTTGCTGGGAACAAGGAGACCACCAAGCCTCAGCGGCTTACTTTACAAACTCAAGGGATCGGAACACCTTGGGAGTCTAAGTAGCCACAGCAGCCAAATACACACAAATGCGGGGCCGGCCCGGCACACGCTGATCATTGATCGAAGTGTGAACTTTGACCTCGTGGTCAATGTGAGCTGGACTTCAGGTTCAGTTGGAGTTTCCTAGCCAAAACGCAGTTCATTTAAATGGCCTCCACCACTTTGCGTATAGCTGTCGTACAGTTTGCACCGAAGGTTTGCGATTTAGTACTTGTAGCACCTGCCTTCTGCCACTTACGTCCTATCATGGCACGAAGATAGGCCAAGTTCACGCAAACATAGCAAAAGCTAGAGAACTATGCAAGCAGGACGTGGATAACCAATATTCTTCAACTTACAAAAAAACAACAGGCTGATCTCTCGTCTTCCTGCAGGATCATACCTCGTTCAGTTGATCTCGTGTGTCTGCCAGAGATGATATTCACCGGTGAGTGGGCGTAGCATTTTCCACCTTTACATTTAGATTCTTACGCACCTGGTCCAGGTTACGTTTTCTCGAACATGGCTTCTATATCGCCATACCTAGAACATCCGCACACCGGGCCCACCTCTCGTTTCTGTGCAGAACTCGCACAATCCCTCCATTGCTATGTCACCGCTGGGTACCCAGAACGTGTGGAGAGTCATGATGCCACAATAAGCGCAGATAGAGATGGAGAAACGCTGTTCGGCGCCAACAGCGCAGTGATGTACGATCATTCCGGTCAACTAGTCACTTCGAACCCGATCCGTAAGACAAACCTCTTCGAGACAGATATCCCGTGGGCTATACCAGGTATTTATTCCGTCTGATCTGGACTATAACCTCAGTCCTAATCCTGCCATAGGAACAGGGTTCACCACGTTATCTCTTCCCCAACCCATAGGGCTTATGACACTGGCTATATGCAACGATCTTAACGTCCAAAAGCCTGCCGTTTGGTCCTCACTCGAGACAGGACCATACGAACTGGCGCAGCACTGCATAGATAAAGGTACTCGTTTATTAGTGTTGCTCAACGCTTGGTTGCACCACGATCAAGCTGATAAAGGTGGCAATGAAAGTGAGCAAGATGAGGGCAAAATAACGGATAGTTCAGAGCCAGATCGGGAAACTTTGAACTATTGGGCATTGCGTCTGCGGCCTTTGTGGGCTGCTGTGGAAGAAGCACGTGCTGAAGCCGAAACTACTGCAGAGGCCGAGCGGATCCCTGAAGAGCTGATAGTTGTCGTGTCCAATCGATTTGGATTCGAGAATGGTGCGCATACATAGTCGTCAGATACACCCTATCATTGACGTACCGGTTTTAATCAATTTCTTTGGGCTCATCTTTGAACTCATTTGAACACAAAACCTTCCTTTCATATGACGCTGAATTTACTTGGCATCGGTGGCGTCCATCCTATAATTCTTTTACGGATGCATAGGCAAGACATTTGCTGGTTCCTCTGCTTTATACTCCCTTCGTCGAGGGTCCGGGCGTCCTCGCCTACTACACGCAATGGGCCAGCGAGAGGAAGGCGTAAGTGTATGGAGTGTTGGCAAAGGTGCCCACAGTTAAGTCAGCCCATGCAAGACCACATGTAACACTCGACTTGGAATATCACCATGAAGCTGTGTATAGTCAACTTTGTGTCGTGGTGCCTTGTTTATGTCGCCTTAGTGTAAGTTAAAGCAGAATCGGTGGGCCATTCTATTACAATTACATTCCAAATCCTGTCAGAAAGGGTACTTAATCCGTATGCACGTTGATAGTCATCGATAGACCTCACTGTGCCGTCAAGGGTTTTTGTTGTAACTTACTATGGCGAAAATCTTCAGGAGACCTACACCTATGTCATTGCCGTCTTCCCGACTTTCTTCTGCCACCTTACACAAGCCTGCTTGAGTGCATCCACAGCTTCCACCAATTCATCGTCATCTTCCGTGCCAGACGACATCCTACCCCACACATCTCCCCTTTTCATCATCTCAACTGCTTGCATTTTGGCTCGCAGACGTTCTTTGTATCCTGTATCCGTTACTGACATAGTATGAGCAGAATACTCGATCGCCTTGGCAGCCTCTGCAAGGACTGTATCCCTAGACAACGAGTAACAACGAGGAATCATTAAGAACCGATATTCTTGGACTAGAAGACCACTGACCTTCCGTTTGCTGTGGAAGGAGAATATTCAAGATAACTCCACATTTGATCCTCGGTTTCTTTCCCATTCATCATAAAGACCTTGTGCAAAACACCTCTAAGAGAATTGAAAGAGTCCTCACGGAGATTTGACTGGAACCGGAAGTCACCAACGTCATTGGAATCCGTCTCAGCATTAGAAGGAGACATACGGATATTTTTTGCGAAAAACCAGCATCGAGTTCTACGCCTACTTCGGGGAGCTCTACCGAGGGAGCTGTTCAGGTAAACAGACTACCAGTGAGTTATAGCTCGGAACAATAACTCAACTACGTACAAATACGGCCTGAGTATTGGAGTGCAGTATCCACTATCTCCACTTCATCGTGTTGGTCTGCCAACGGGGGAATACTTGAATTGCAGGAAAGCTCGTGATCCTCCACAATGATAACATCCTCATCTTCTAGCGCTTGTGGACTGACTCTCCTTTCAGGCCTTGGAGGATTCTGTGGCACTGCTGGTATTTTGAATGGTGTTTTGAAAGGTTTCTTCAGGCTTCTCATAGATTCAAATGGTTTCGTTACTGAAACACAAAAAGTCAGGTAGCCCTGTGTCTACGCGGCACATATTACTCACTAAGTTTAGATGGCATGGCATGGCTAGACTTCGGTTTTTTCGAGCTCGCATCATATGAGATGTCGTTTGGACGTTTACTACCTCCTGAAGATTGCTGCTGCGCAAACGGATCAGATTTACTGTCACTGCCCCCTCCTCCTCGGTTCGGAGGCTTCCAAACCGCTTTATTCCAAGGGCCTTCCGCAGAAGACCGGTTCCTAGCCTGAAGGGCATTGGCACTGTAACTGTCGCCTTCATCGTCCACCGTATGTTTGATGTGATCGTCGAGATTAGACGTCAGTGCTCCAATATCTTCTTCATCAGTAAGTTTCTGTTTTCGACGTTTGGTCTTATCGGGGTATTTGCACACCTGTAAGGTAGTTTGTAATGTTGGATGAGCAACAGATTTTCAGGAAACATACGTCACACATCTGGTTACAATAGTTTTTGGCTATTGCTTTGTCTGTTACATCAATAAATTCTCCAAAGTACCTGCAGATTGACTTTCGAGATGATAAGTCGTGCTGAGCTTTTGAAAAGCGACGTGAAGAAACACACCACATGTCGACATATGTGAGTATTTTCAGCAAAATTGATTAACTAAAACCAGCACATAAGCCACAATTTTAACGGATTCTGAAGTTCACTAACCGAGCTGAAACTATCTATCGATCTCTGGCTAGGAGCGGGACCGTCCGCAGCGTCGGCTGCAAATTGTCGTCGAGCATGAGAGCCCGACACAAGCCTTCGAAGTCGAAAAGCATCTTCCCGGGCTATAAAAAATATGCTAAGCTCTTATACGAGCGTTGCGATAGAACAGGAAGCATACAATAATATAGTATACATCTTGAAGGCTACAATATAATCTCCAGACAGACCCGTGACTTAAGAGGGGCACGGAACTTACTGCATCATCGCGACCAGCCCTGCCTATGCAAAGCTATCAATGCACGTCAAGCCAGTGAATATTTCGTGACATACCTGTCTCCTGATAATAGCCTGGTACCTATGAGCATGATACTGAAGGAAAAGCAGAAAATTCACCTTCGAAACTCTTAGGGAGGTCAAAATGAATGATATATCTTGAACATCCTAATCAGACCTTCTGTCCCACATTAAACTCGAGATTTATATTTGCTTACCGGACATCGCTCTTATCAATACCCATACCGAAGGCGATAGTCGCGCATACCTTGAGGAGCCTTTCATTACAGATCCTCCCTCCATTGAAAATGTAAAACTTACAACGTCTACACCCTCCCCTGAACCTCCTTGTTCCCATTCTTTCAGAGTTTTGTCGAGCGTTTTAGCACTAGAGTCACAAGGTGGCGGTTCTAGTCAAAATTTATACACAGAATGCTGGCATGACCCAACATACGGAATTCCACGATGATATGGTCTTGAGTTGAGGCCCTTGCCCCGAAGATACGCAGAAAGCTCGTCACACACGACACGTGTCCTGCAATACACTATTCCAGAAGAAGGCCTTTCACGTCGTCGATGCAGACTCGTTATGAATTCGAGGATATCGGCCATCTGGGAAAGAGAATCAGGTGCAGACGCATACCGAACCTGAACAAATACTGTAAGTATAGGAGTCCGAAATTGGAGCCGAAAGTTTCAGCACCTCATAAAAAAGGTTTGGCCTATTGAAAGGATGCACCGCTTTAAATAAACTATTTCTATCCATCTTTAGGCTTCGGATAATGTCTTGCTGGACACTTGCCGTATGTTAGTCATAAATATGGGATGATAAGATTGATATTACCCAGGTGTAGCGGTCGCTGTGAGCGCCATTATTGGTACCCCTGGAAAGCGATCACGAAAATTTCCTAGCTTTCTATATTCAGCCCGGAAATCGTGTCCCCATTCCTATCCTAAGGCTTGGTAAAATATTAACAGATCGATAATACGGTACTGACGGAGATACAGTGAGCCTGAAGAGCGACGACTTGCTGATTAGCATCGAAAACCAACGCCGGAATTGAAATCAATAAAAAGCACCTCATCTACAACCAGCCTGTTTACTCTCTGTCTTTCGTATACGATAGTCAGCAGCCTCATAATATCTTTAGTAAAAAGTCTCTCGGGAGTGACTACGATTGATGTCAATGATGTCACAGTATGCAGTACGTGGTGGGCTCACTATAGAGTAAACGATTTTGTGGTTGCCCAGATAAAAGGTCGTCAAGAATCTAGTCTGTGGATCAGATCTCAGTGAATGAGAGAATGGCTGCCTTATTATACCTCTTGTTTGTCCTCTTTGGGTGTTTCAGACGTTAGTGATGCCACACATACATTTTTTCGTCGAAGACTTGCCACCTCTGTATAGAAATACAAGATTATGGATAAATATTAACCATCAGGGGAAAGCCACTTACGGTTCTTCATCAAGGCTAGGTTATATGCATGTTAGAATCAAAGGTTTTACAACCACCGTAGCCACATACCAAGCAGCGGAGATACGACAATCGATATACCAAACTTAAAAAACGTTCATGGATTTTCGTAAGACACAATAAGAAACCATACCTTTTCGACCACAGCAGGAACCTGAAAGCATACACTCTACTCTCATATTTGTAGACAGACACAAGAATTAGGCAAATATATAGGCTCACCTTTCCCATTCCAGTTGGAGCCAGAACAAAGACGTCGACACCTATATCTCAATGTCGACTGCAAAGCATGAGACACATCATTCAAACGAACCTGATATTGCAGCTTCTACAATTTCCCGTTGCTTGCCTTTATAGTCCACATGGCCAAAAACTAGATAGAACACTGAGAAATAAGCGGTCAGCAATGAAGTGTAAGTACGAACTCTCTCTCAGGACTCTGTAAATTCTTTTAGTAAAACTTTGTCTGACCGACGCTAACGCTGCTGCTTACCTGCAACACTCTGGATTTGCAACAGAAAAAGGACCACCGTCTTTTTCTTCCAAGTTCGGACTGTTCCTTGGGCTTCTATTCATGAGTATGAGCTCTCAGTAGGCCGCATGGAACTGGAGAGAGTTGCAACACGGACAAGGAAGAGCCACGTTCATCGTCTAGTTCACCGAAGAAATTATCTGAGTCTGACATTGAGTTATAATGTAGATATAGGTGAACTTGAGCATCTAAGTCAATCAGGTGCAATATACTAAACTGAAGACGGTCGCAAACAACTCAGCGTGGTACCAGAGCCTTTGTGACAATGATGCGCGTGACATTTAGCAAACGCGATCACGTGCTACATGACATGTCACTCCTAATATTTACCAAGACCGAACTTCGGAATAACAACACAATCATACCATGAAGTATGTCAAACGTATAGCAAAGGAGGATTTAAGACTGAGTAAAACCACTATCATGCAACAGCATATTCAATAATTGTCACAAGCGAGGCATCTGGGATCAAAACATATTTTTACAAATGTTCTTGTCACAAGAAATCAAAGTCAAGGTTTATAAACTAAAAGGCAGAACTTTCTCGCTACCTAAGAATCCATCGCCTCCAATTCCCCACCCTTTATTCCAACCTCCCTTCTTGCGCGCATCGCTAATCTCGAAAAATATCGATCCGTCAAACACCTTCCTCATATCCTCCTTATCGATCCTGCCATTCTTCTGCAGCAACAGCCAAGAAGTCCCCCACTCAAGTGTCGAAGCAGTCCATCCAAATGGGTCCATGGCGCAGCGCTGACCCCTCATCAACTTGAAGACTTCGCGGAGGGAAAGTGAGTCGGATGGGAATGTGGGCGAATCTTTCGACGGGGCCGCATACTTGGAAAATGCATCCTCGAAGCGAGACGGGATGAACCTCCCTTCTGTGTCGAAAGCACCCGAGTCTGAACCGTGTTTGTCTTTGTGGATAGGCTTGACGTAGATACGGAAGAAGGGGTCAGGGAGATAAGACACCGCGAGATGGGTGGGAAGGGACAAGCCGAAATGAACGACGATGACCGCGAGAATACTGAACAGAAGATTGAAGCCAAGTTCACGGAAACCAAAGAAGGTATCAATTGGCCAAATTACACCATCTTTGTCCTTGTCCCAGAACGTGACATGCTGTTGCATAACAGACTGCGGTACTGTGAGTCTCTGGTGCTAAAGGGCAAAGTGACTGACTCACGTATTCACTATATTTTTTTGAATAATTAGGAGACCCATCTGGATGATCTATGGTTGGTGCTAATGCAGCACGAGCAACGTATGGTTTTGGAACCGAGCTGTCGGTGTCATGGCGGTAGCCTCGTTGCTTTGTGACAGGAGCAAAAGTCGCTGTGGTGGCAGGACCTTCAGGTTGGGGCATGGTGTTATGGGTGGCCCAGGGGTGGATTCAGACCAACGAGTATTTGAGGACCGCTAGTATAGGAGGTGAACTAAGGCGAGAACTTGTGTATTATTTCGATGCAGGCTGCAATGACGTCGAACATGTGGGAGCGACACCACATATGTATGAAAAGGAGGTGTATGAAAAGGAGGTATCGACGTCGACAAGGACGTCATGCCATCAGTAATTGAAATAGTATGTGTAGATTAAAAAAGAATGAGACTTAGTTACACTACGCCAGAAAAACTCCACTCGACATGAACCGCATCACCGAAGAATACGACTTCATCATCATTGGCGGTGGTACAGCCGGGTGCACTGTCGCTGGCAGACTCGCAGAGTTATCGCCTTCCCTTTCCATCCTCCTCGTCGAAGCAGGAAAACACCCAGATGGCGTAAAAGCTATATCGACCCCTGCTCTGGCCCACACTCTCATTGAATCGGAGTACGACTGGGCATACAAAGCCAAGCTCATCGACAGACCTGATTTTCAGCGAGAAGAAGAACATGTTACTCGGGGCAAGGTTCTTGGAGGAAGCAGCTGTCTTAATTATTACTCCTGGCATCGCGGAAGCGCTGCGTTATACGACGATTGGAAGGCTTACGGCGGTGACACCTGGTCGTGGAACGCTTGCAAGTCGTATTTCGCCAAGGTACTCCTTTCCTTTTGAGGGTTCTAAACTTGTCCACTTATGGTGACGTCTAGTCTGCTTCCCTCAAAGAACCCTACAATTTACCAGCCTTATGTACCGATCCAGGCGATGTAGGGGAAAATGGCCCGCTCAATCTTCGAGCTGTCCCTCCCCTTCCATTCGCGCAAGATATTGTTCATGCTTGGACTAGCCGAGGTCTTCCTGTAACGAAGGACATTTTCAGTGGTTCTGTAAATGGCCTTACCCATCTTATTAGCTCCATTCGTAACGGCATTCGTACAACGAGCGTCGCTTTTTTACACGGAAAAAACAACATCTCTGTTCTTACACAAGCAACAGTCAGTCGTATTGTGATGGAAAAAGATGCAGCCTCGGACGCGTATATCGCCACTGGTATAGAACTCGTCGATGAACAAGGAAATCCTCGTCGAGTTATCCGTGCAAGGAACGAAGTTATTCTCTCAGCAGGTGTATTTGAGTCCCCCCACATTCTTCTTCTATCAGGTGTTGGCCCAAAGTCAGAGCTCGCGTCTCAAGGCATCGAATGTAAAGTAGACTCACCTCAAGTAGGGCTCAATCTCCAAGAACACCCTGTATTTGCGCAGGTCTATCAAGTATCCGACGGACGTGGGCTTGACCACATTCTCCGTCCTGGGAGTAAAGATTACGCAGCGGCACAGAGGGAATACGATGAAACAGGCAAGGGCCCGCTTGGCTGCGCGTTGCTGGAAATGTCTGCATTCACACGACTCGATGAGAGACTCAAACAGTGCAAGGAGTGGCGAGACCTGGCGAGCAAGCAAGACCATAAGGATCCCCTTGGACCGGGAGGACAGCCGCATTTCGAATATGACTTTCTCGTAGGCTTCTCATCATTGTGGTGTGAACTGAGAAGCTGACCGAGTTTTCCATAGCCACTCTTCTTCCCTCCGTTTTTACCGCATATCGAGACACCTAAATCAGGTGATTATCTTACAGTTGTGACATCTCTCCTGCGTCCGTCATCGCGAGGTACTGTCCGCTTGACCTCCAGCTCGCCGACTACGCCACCTTGGATCAACCTCAACTTGCTCTCTGCACCTGTAGACCTTGCTGCATTACGTGAGGGAGCACGCTTTATAAAAGAGGTGCTGGAACGCGGAGATGGAACCCGCAATGTAGTGAGAGGTTATTATGGTGCAGATCAAGAATTGGAAGGGCTGAATTCAGAAGGCGTAGGCGATGATGTGGTGTTGGGACACTGTTCGACAGGGTATCATGCCTGCGGTACCTGTCGAATCGGTAAAGCGGGGGGGGATATGGAGGGTGTGGTTGACGAGAAGTTGAGGGTTTACGGAGTGAAGAAACTGCGCATTATCGATGCAAGTGTGTTTCCCGTTATTCCAGATGGGAGAATTCAGAGTGCCGTGTATATGGTGGCTGAGAGGGGTGCGGAGATGGTAAAAATGGGCTGGGAGCAGGAGAGTACTACTGGAAGGGTGAAAACAGGTGCAGCGTGGGTGTGGAATACGGCAGGGCGGTTTTCTGATTTTGCCAGCGAGATGCTGAGAAGGAATACTGAGACTATGAGAAGAGCTTGGGAATAATTGCATAGCACGAAGCTTGTATTACATTCTCACCACTAAAAGTATGTCATGAAATCGAACTTGCGTGTTCTTAGAATCGTTTCGGGATGTTAAAGTATAACAGTTCCAAGTTATCCAAACCTAAAGCGAATTCAGAGCAAGCGTAGTTGAGAATGAACATTTTTACTCACCTCTAAATCTTTTGCACTAAAGATCACACTCTACTAGTAATAACTTGAAGTTCAAGTTTCGAGAACATGTTATTGTGATATAACAACATAGTCACGCGTGTCACGTCACGCTACAAAGGAGCTCGTGTTAGGCTTGATTGAAGATTTATCACCACCGTGACTGGGGCCCCAACACAGAGGCGGGTTTGGTTGCTCAGGCTGGTACGCACAGAGCGGGGGTAAGTGATTAGTGGGACACATCATAACATCGTGAGTCAAGTGTTTCAGTCTGTACTCTGGTACTAGATGGTGAGTGGATGGAGATGAGTTCATGGCATGACGGGCGGTAGGGACGTTTACTGTCAGAGACGGATAAGTATCTAAAATTTGATTGATAGACGCTTTTTAATACAGCGCGAGTTACAAATGAAGAGTCAATGTTGAGGCTGGGGGGAATCTAAGTCAGTCTTCACCAGGCTGTACCGTCATTCTGATAAAGTATCTCTAGGCGCACATTTGAAAGGATGGAAGTCGTTAATTTTTTTTTACAAAGTGACATACTACGCAGATTTTGTAAATCACGATTTTCGCCTACGCCGAAAGCTTTGAAGCAACGCGTATCATAAGCTGTTCCAAGGACGCAAACCGGTCATTTATAGCGAGGTCCTGGTCATCCATTCTCAAGACGAGTGAAACGATCATTCATGGATGCAAAGCGTTCATCTATAGCGAGCTCCTGGTCCATTCTCCTCTCAATGCGGGTGAACCGATCGCCTAAGGACGTAAAACGTTCATTCATAGCGAGCTCCTGGTCGTTCATTCTCTTCTCAAGACTAGCGAATCGATCGTCCAATGCGATGATTCATTCTCAGCTCTGCTGGTGTAATTATAGGGGTTTCTTCGCTACGCTTTTGGCAGCGGACCAAGGGATGGCTGGCGTCATGATTGCCATCCCAGTGCAATAAATTTTTGGAGTCGCACTGGTCACAAATAAAGGTATCGGAATCTACATCGCAATGAATTTTTTGAGGACATGAGGGGTAAGTCGGTACTGACCGCATGAGATGCAATACCAGCAAGGAAGCGCCACCACAAGCTGACAGCCAATGCAACGGTAATCGCAGTCGCCGCATTGGGCAGCATCACCATCAGTATCCATGCAATCTTGACTAGACGTCTGAGGTTTGGATTGAAATCCATCTCTGAGATGTTTGAAGCCGCTCGATTGCTCGATCGCATTTCGGCACCTGCGAATCAAGGACCCAATGCCTTTCCGGTGGACGACACTTTGCACTTTGACCATGGGGTGCGTGCTCGAGTGACTAAACATGTCGCTTTGTACCTCCATACTGAGGCAGCTATAGCATAGATCAACTTGATTACGGAAGTTTTCCATAATGCATTCGAGGCATATGATTCTGGGACCACTTATCTGAACGTTGCGGCAATAGTCACAACAAGCGTTACTGCAGTAGGATATTCAACCAGTTAGGATTAAGGCACATCAATGACCCCAAAAGGTCACGTACGAATGTATGACCGAGTTGCGCACAGTAACTTTCGCCATTGAGCGATAGAAGCGAACGTCTTGAGGAAGCAGATTCTTCTCCATGTTCTCTAGCTCCTGTGCTTCATCCTCGAAGTCGAATTTGTTGTCCAAGGGCCAGGCCTGAGCCAGTTCACGTCGTGAATACAGATCCACAAAGCGGCTCCTATCATTTCTTCTCCCCTCGAAAAACCTCCAAGACCACATTCGCCGCCTAACTTGATAAAGGAGTTAAAAGGACGGCCTCACATGCGAACGTCCAGCGTGCTTGAGCTTTATTTTCGCGTCGTGGTAGGAGATTGTACTGACCTGGGAATGAATATTATTAGACACTGGACAGCTGCTCAGCGCTAAGTGGCGACGTTGTGAGTCTGCAGCACCAAAAATAGGCGCAACATAGCATAATGAAGCGCCAGTATAAACTTGAATAAACTCACTGGCATAACAAATACTTAGAAGGGATACCTTGGAGATCAGAGTGACAGATAAACTTGTTTGTTTGTAAAATCTAACATGCTTCAAGTTGTGGATGAAACTGAATCGAAATCACGACGCCATCATTTGGCCATCATGATACTAATCAGCAACTTGGGTACAGTAACGCTAATAGTTGAACTTCTCCGGGCTGAGTTCCTTCATCACGTGCGTGACTGCTTGGTTCTCGACATTTCACTTTATCCCTACTGACACCGTCAACACCATAATAGTGCACACACCAAGATACAACGCCCCAAAGAAATAAAAAAGCTATGCAGAAAGCTTGGAAACGACCCGTATCAAAAGTTGTTCCAAGGATACGAAACGTTCATTCATGGCAAGCTCCTGGTCATCCATTCTTTTTTCAAGGCGAGTGAACCGATCGTCCAAGGAAGCAATTTTGTTCTCCAATTCCAAGATCCTCAATTCCGAAGGATCCGTCTTTGCAGCTTCTTCAATACGCTCTTGGCAGCGAACTAAAGGATGGCTGTTGTCATGATCGCCTTCCCAGTCTGACATATCCTTAGAGTCGCACTGGTCACAAATAAAAGCATCCGAATCTACATCACAAAAAATATTGAAAGGACGAGTGGCAATGACAAGGTAGTACTTACCACAACAGACGCAGTACCAGCAAGGAGGCGATACTGCAAGCTCGCAGCCAATGCAACGGTGGTCGCAGTCACTACATTGATCAGCGTCATCATCATCGCCATCATCAGTGCGGGCATAATCGATAGGTTTATCCTCCAATTCATCTCTGAGACGCATGAAGTCGCGAGCTCGTTCCACCGCTTTTCGAGAGTTACGGATCAAGGGGCTGACTTCCCTCTGGTGAAAGACTCTTTGCACTTTGACCATGGCATGCGTGCGTGAATGGTCAAATGATTCATCTGCCGTCTCCATACTAAGGCAGTCAAAGCAGAGATCGACGTGATTTCTAAAGTTCTCGGTGATGCATTCAAGACATACGACTCTAATTCCACTTATAGTGGCATCGCAAGAATCACAGCGAACGTTACTACCACGGGGGAAATATCCACCAAATAAGCATCAAACTGGAATACTGAAAATCTCCTGAGAAACGTACGAATGTATGACCGAGTCGCGCACAGCGACTTCCGCCATCGAACGATAGAAACGAACATCTTGAGGGAGTAGGTTCCTTTCCATGTTTTCTAGCTCCTGTGCTTCATCTTCGAAGTCGAATTTGTCGTCCAAAGACCACGCTTGAGCCAGTTCACGTCGTGAATACAGATCCACAAAGCGCTTCCTATCTTCTCGTCTTCCCTCAAAAAACCTCCAAGACCACATTCGCCGCCTAACATGATAAAGGACGGCCTCACATGCGAACGTCCAGCGTGCTTGAGCTTTATTTTCGCTATACTCCTCAGCTGAGTAACGGAACCGCTGTGAAGATATGGGCGACATCTGGAGATGAAATTTCCCGCCATATTCTGCGTTTCCCCAGCGTCCGTCTATTGTGGCGGTTGTCACATCGAGCTTGCCTTGATATGTCCATGAGTGTCCTGCCGTGATGTAGGACTTGACAAGGTCAATGTCCCAGTTGGTAGATTTATCACAAGAGCGTAGATCTCCCTTTACGTTGAACTTGTCGAGGCCGTCCATTCCTCCGCCACTAAAAGAACCATCTTCTAGAGATTTGTCGATAGAAATTAGCATGGAACCATCCACTTGTAAATCGTCATCGTCATAGAAGTAGAGACCACTCCACGTTCCTTCAATGCGTGGAAAACCCGAATCAGGTAAATGAATTGCAAGGTCTACTTCTTCTGGTGGTGGGTCCTCGTATGCGGTCACATCCAACTGATGCCGAGTAAAGCCAAACTTCAGGATGGCAGGATCTACCTCTCCATCTTCATCATCATCGTTTTCGGAGTCGCTACCGTACCATATATCACAGTCCTCTCCCATTTCGGAGAAAGCTGTCTCTTCGCCATGAAGGAGGCGGAACTAATTGTAGACGATTAGAGCCTATTTGTGGCATTGGAAAAATTTAAGATATTTACCATGCCAAACGCCACAATACCAAGCTGCGCACTGACATCGAGGTTCTTCTGCTTGAAAAGGGCTAGTATTGGTGAGTAGATGATATGTAAAATGTACATAGTTAGCTTACCTACGACGTTGTTTATGCGCTCATCTACTAAGGTCATGACCCGTGCCAATGACCACCCTGCCTCCACCATTTCGTTTTGTGCGAAAATACCCTTACAGGCGAGTTTGATCATTCGTAAATGGTGCCGTAGAAGAATATACAGCAGTGGGAAAATATACTGCGAAGTTACAATCAAGACAACCTTGACAAATATTTCAGAAGTAGTCTCTCACCCGCTCAATACGGCCAGGACCAACTACCAATGCAACGGTATTGGCAGCATCAATGTTATACGTGATTAACTTTAGGTTTGCCTCTATTCGTTTTTGCTCAGATTCCATGTAGGGGCGAATCTTCTCATTCAACAAGGCGTCTTGGACTACGTCGTCGTCACACCTCTGGATAGAGGCACAGAGCATTTCGATTTGACCAAGAGGCGCAGAGTCGAGGTACTGATCAGTGATCGACTTATTCTCTGGTAGAACGTCCTTCAAAGTGTGGTACATTTTTTGTCTGATTTTTCCGATGCGCAAACTGTACTCCCAAGTGATGGAATGCCAACCTGCTGCCCAATAGGCCAACCAGTGCGGAAGACTACACGCAAATCAGATCATGTTGTCTAAAAAGCACAGATTAATTGTGAATCACCTCCAGTCTTTCGGTCTTGCAGCTGAGAAATTATTGGCTTCTTTGATGCTTACGAACCCGGAACTATCGTCATCGAACGCTTCTAGGATAGGTTGAACATGTGAGACATTGATATAAGCAAGGGCCCATCGGTCATCCGCCTGTATCTTCATGGGGTACGATGTAGCAGTGATACTGAGAGTCAGCGAAGGGTCGAAACCATCTTCTGGTGGAAGCGGTGACATCAAGGAACAGGGAGTATTGATTATCTTCTGTTCATCGTACTCTTGAAACTTGTCCACAAAGTAATCATGCAGAGCTAGAACAAAATGACGAGCCTTCACGTTACCCTTCCAGCCCTGTCAAAGAGAAATATCGATAGCATGTTATGGTATCGATCTAAAAAGACATACCATCTCTTTCCAGATTTGATGGAGATCCTGTAATATATCAGGGCCTAGTCATATCACCGAGAGATCAGAATCTTTATTAAAACTTACTGGGTCAATCAGTTTATCGTGAGAACCAGAAGCCACAGCGCTGATTATTCGATCCCCTTCTCGATGAACGACTACATTCAACTCTTCCACCAGCTGCCTCTTCTGGACTGCCATTTTCCTGTCAAAAAGCTCCATGTTGTTCGACAGTGTCTTGTCTAAGTCTTCTAGTATGTCATTCCGAACAGCCACAAGAATATGAGGGTCGAGAGGCGCTGAACGCGCATGTTGGTTAGGGACCACCACAGTTGTAGAAAGACCAGATGCTGCCTTAGATGACTTATCCTTCTTCCGACCAATGAGAATAAGTTTCTGAAGCGTATCATCATTGTCGATGCACGCCTTCGCACCACCTTTCGTCTCTGCCATAATTTTTGAGATTTCCTTCTCTTGCGCAGAATCGAGCTTTCGAAAAAGGAGGAGCATGTCCAGTTTTGCATTTACAGCACGAAGACCCTCCGTGAGACCGGCAAGAGTCTGGTTGGCATTGTCGACGCCCAGAGTCGTGTGTATTGACAAAGCAAGTTCGATCTCTTTCCGACGCTCGACGAAAGTGTCAACAAACCCTGCAAGTCGATCCTCCCAAATAGGACCTTTAAAAACCTTGACTAAGAGATAAAAGATATGTCAGTACTGATAGGCAAATATGAAAACACTGAACATACCGACAAGATTTTTCTTTGTATAAGCATCGCAAACATTTCCGCAGTCAGTGATATCACTAGCAACCTGCTTCATTAACTCCTGCATACGTCCTTGCAAGGTTGTCCCATCTGGAAGTTTCTGCTTCGAATCCTTAACGAAGCGTAACCTACAAGGAATTTAGCCGCCTCATCAACAGACTTGTATTAAATAACCACAAACTGTAAAAGGATAACCATCATATCTTTCATCCCCATCTTCAGTGCGATAACTTTTTTGTCGTTATCTCGCCGTTTCAACTCGAGAGTGACCACAGCTTTGAATGCAAGCACAGCAACTTCATTCAAGACAATTACACCGCTCAGTTTACCCAGTCATTGCCTTGACAATGTATCCACACACACCTGCGACGAATGGATGTACTTTAGAAACTTCATCCAGCATCTTCATTACGACTTTGCTTGACTCTGCAAATCCACGTATGCCATCTTCAACTGTCTTGATATCAACGTTGTTCTGGGCTGCGTTGATGGCTTGCTTTGCTATTCCATTGACTGCGGTATGATTTTGATCATAAAAGGTATTCGCGGTCACGTAGCCACTAGATGACATTGATTCCATAATGCGGTCCCCTGCACATGATTTTCAGCCTGATGATCGTATCCGTCTAGTATATCATACCAGTGTTATTTAGTGTTCCTTCTGTCATTGGTACAGTATCATCCTTGCTGGATCTGTAATACACGTCATCGATGGCCTTCTGTAGGTCCTTGTCCTCAGTTTCATTGGTAAGGATCCTTCTATTTGATGATGAGTTGGGCGATTCCCCATTTTCAGATATTGGAGTTCGAGGATCCCTGGACAAGTATCCCGAGTATTTTCCCTCCAATTCAAGACTCTGGATGTCTTGAGGGTGCAAATCCGATGAAGACGCGACTAATGTATCAGATCTAGGCATAAACAACTTAAACGGTGCTCTAGAGGAGTAATAGTTTGAGGACGTCGATGCGCGGCAGAAATATAAGGAAGGCGAATGCTCCTACCTACCAGGAGTTCCATGTGGGGCAGCACTTCCGGAAAGGTGAACATTAACAGTGATTCTTTTCGCGGCATCCTCATCGGGGCTGGTACGGCATAGGTGCCAAGTTGCTGCGTAGTATTCAATCCTGATCTAAAGTGGCAAGACTGGTTATTAGGATGATAATGAAGCTCACCCACTAGTGTGTCGGAAAAATCCGTTTAACCAGATCAGACCCTACGAATGTCTGTAACTTACCTGGGCCACCTGATGATCTGAGCCGTTGGTGATCAGAATCGGATCAGAAATAGAACAGACTATAATCAGGCGGATCAGCTGGGATAAGAAGATAAGAGACACAGATTGTGTCTGATGAGAAACATATCGGAACTGGGACAGAAAACGATCAGGCGGATTAGCTGGGGTAAGAGGGATACGAGCGACAGATATTCTCTGACCAGACATGACCAGATCAAAAGAGAGCATGTATGGGTTGAAATAGATGCCATCAGACAGACTTAGCTCAACGGTTCAAAATGTGACACCTGAGATTTTACTAGTGGTAGTTAACAATAAAAGCAGTCTAGTTGTCAGTTCCCGAAACGTAGGAACATATCACCATCAATCAAGTCATTTAAATAAAACCGGCCTTCCTTCAGATTAAAAGCCTCGATCATATGAGCTCCCCGAATCAGGGACTTAGCCATGACCAGCTTGAAATCTCTCGCTTCATCATACAAAAGTGCCCCCGACCATCTGGTCCTCGGAATTCCATTTGATGGCTTGAATATCTTGACCGACACAATATCAAACGAAGAGGACTGAAGGAAACATCGAAAGACGGTTTGGAGTCGAGCAGGAACTGGCTCCGATGTGTCTGTGTTAATGAGAACACAGTCGAAGCGTGATTCTTTATTGAAGTTGGGGTTGCAGCGAAGGATGTCCCGTCCTTCGCTCCAGTCTTCGTGTGATTGATACTTAAGATAAATGCATTGATATTTCCTGATCTGTGGAACATAGAACAATGTTAGAGCTGTAAAGTATATCTAATATCAGCTTACTGAGATGGGACCATCTCCAACGGCTACATTGCAACTTGAGACTAAAAAACTCCGCAGACGCTTGTCAAATCCTTTGAGGCCCTCGCAATGCTCCATGACTACCGAGCTTGTCAGGTTTGTGGGAGATCCTAGCATCCAGTGGTTATCGGGGGTAGGTTGTGTCGACCTCTGGTCATCATTTCTGCCAGCGTCATCTCCTAAGTCTTGGTCCTCAGTGTCGTTATGGTGGGCTTTATCATAGTTGTCGACGGTCATCCGTATGTGGGCGATGGCTTCTTGGTTCTCGTCAATGCGAGCCATCTGTGGAAACTGAACATCGGGCTTTTGGTACACATAAATATGTTTGCTTACCTGGCTGTCTGTATCTTTCCGGTTTGTCTGCTCGTAGGCTTCTTGCGCCTCTTGGTGAAAGCCCTCGCTGACTCGTGTGTCGTAGTTATCCGTTGCACCCTTCTGCCGGATTTCTGTGAGAATATGATTTATGGCGTGTTGCTTGCTAAAGTGGAAGTCCTTCTCGTAATTGTTTGAAATGTGCTGTATTATAAGAACCATTAGAAAACAATCAAGACACATGTAGAACCGCTACTCACTTCACAACATTGTTCATATTGAATAATATATTGTTTTAGCCGGTGTGTCCTCCCTTCGGTCATACAATTGAGGCCAATCATGAGCCGATATCTAGCATAGGCTCGGATACCATGTACTAATGTTGAGTTCCTAGGGAGAATTTGGACGATGCATGGGAGGATGCACTAGAAGAACAGAAAAGTCAGTGTATAGTGCTAATAAATAATGTATTAAGGACTATGCACCTTGAGTATATCATAAAACACTTGACCATCCGCATATTCGACTGTGGTGACGTTCATGAAGTGTTTGAGTCCAGGCCATCTTGATACATTCCGCATGCTATATATCCTGAGTTTTAGTGAGACGTCAAGTTTGACGTGTAGTTGAAACTTACTTTCTGGCCATATGGCCTTTGTTTCCGTTTTCTGCTAACACTGTGAGGAGGATGTTGGAGATATGAGAGAAACAAGCGTAGTACGAAGAAGGGAAGTGGCGCAATCGCCGAACTAGGCAGGCCTAGTAGATGGAGTGGCCCGTGCGCCATCAGATAACATTTTTGATTTTGATTCCGTTCTCCTTTATATACGCTGTCGTCGTTAGGCAGACACCTCAGACCTTCACTCGAAGTCTGAGGTGAGATTCCCCATTTAGTGTTAAATTACGAGTACCTAGCTTACCTTTCGTTTTTCCAGCTGTTCATTGCTAGGTACATTATTCCAATATATTTAGACCTTCACTCGAAGTCTGAGCTGTTCATTGCTAGATAAACAATAGAGGAGCGGCCAGATGTGCTTACCCCATTTTCCTAGATCATCGGAGTGTAATTTATCGTATGAAATGGAACAATATGGGTCTGAGTGGTCGAGTGACCAAAAAAAGTTCTGTAAAAAGCTAGTGAGTGGAAGATAAAAAAAATACGGGGAGAAAACCTTGGTTGCATGTAATCCGTGGGCTTGTAAGATTCGTTCAGCCTCCGTTTTATTTGATGCTGTGATTGAACGCTTGTACACCTTCTCCATGTTGTCAGTTGTGCGACACTGAAAATTTCCGCATAGTTTCGTTAAACTGTCATGGCAGACAAGACATTTCGGGCATGGAAATTTGGCCAGGGCCGCACGCGTAGCTGTTAGCGCACAGCTTTCTTCGCCATCAACAGACTTGACTGGTATTCCTGGATGTATCACTCTATCAATTTTGTCACCACAGGCCATTGCTTCTCCGAAGCGTGCAGGCCATCGTAGTGAGTGGAATATTACTTCGGCAACCTTGTGGTAAACTTCACGCTTGAAGCACTGCCATTTAATGGTATCAGCAGTGTTTCTGTCAGATGGGTCGGCCGGGTCCAAAGGCTGTAAAAACAATGCAATAAGAAGCCCCTGTGTAGCAGAAAAAACGCTTACAATGGGCATATACCCTACAAGAACACCTCCTCCATTTCCCAACGCATTTCTTACCCCCCGCGGCAAAAATAGCGGACGAATAATTATAGGGTGCTTCTTGACCCGCTTAGTGATGTTGCCTTTGTCAAGCCAGAGAGAGATCGGTAGAAAGCAATGCGGTGGTTCTTCTTGTGGAAAGGATTCCTGCATTCAAATTAATCCACATCAGAAAGCATGTAAATGTATATACTATATATTTACCTGTACGTCCCACCATTTGTTGGCTGAATTGAACTCGTCGTATATGCGTTCTTTCAAGACTATCCTACCATTTCGACGGCAATAATATTTGCGGCAAGGATGCCAAAGGATGAGAGGCGCTAATGTCTCATCCATAATCCAGTTGCGATAGATTTTCCACGGATCTCGGTACTGAAACTTGAAGTAATGAGTTTCTCCTAGATAACATGCAGAAACATTTCCTTCTTGAAACTGAAAGAAAGGTTAGAAGAATCGATTTTGAGGGTCGTCTTTGCCCACCTGGACATATTGCGCACGTGCTACTTGTAAAGTCTTCTCGATGTCTGCATAGTTCCGAAATGTAATGTTAGTATTATCTGCCCATCCATGATGTATCCCATATAACTGTGTGTTTACTATTGCTTTACTTAATAATCCCTTGACAGCTGTTTCCGCATATTCAAAGTCGGCACGATTGCGAAAGGGCGCCCACGGTTTGATCTCCAATGCAGAGCCAAGTCCAGCTTCGTGGTTGCCTTGATCAGCTGAAGGGATAACACTGTCAAGGGGAATTATGACTGGGTCATGCTTCCCACTTTGAGGATGGTGGACAACTTGAATAAAAGTTGCACTTGATATCTGTTGGACATTGGTTTCGTCGTTACCAGATTCTGCTAAGTCAAGACTCAAGTCTGTCAGGCACAGTTGAAAGACAGAATGAAATGAAATATTCCCGCACCGCTGATTGGAGGACCCGCTTCAACCTCGTCATTGACTTGAGTCCGGTCTCCGTCAGCCTGATAAGATGCACAGAACTGTAAATTTAAGAAGTTGAAAAAGAGAGACGTTAACACCTCAACAGTTTTCTTTCTTTTTTGATTTGGCTCCTCGAGTGATCTCCCTAAGCACCGTTTCTCTGAATGGTTTTCTTGTCGTGCCGCTAGCTCTAATTGTTCCTGATTTCTGACCTTGCAGGACTTGATGTGCTTGTCAAAGCGCTGTGTGCTTCGGTGTTGTTGACAATATTTACACCATGGTCCTTTTTTTGCCTCGGTTGTCCTAGGAATATGAGACATAGTGTAGCTAGCTAGTATAGTTGAGCATGGAGACGTCGTTGTTGAGAAAATCATAGATCATGATGTTATCTACAAGTCACGGTTAGCCTGGTGTACGTAACAATTGAATCAGAGTCAGTAACAGATACTCCACACTGTTGCTCGTCTCCAACCAAAACAGTGCAGATGGAAAAAAAACAGAAACATATCAAAGACAAGAAGAAGAAGACCTCTACCAATCAAAAGGCTGCTCGTCAGACTGCTCAAGCTCCAGGAAGAAGAATAGCCCATGCAAAGAGCAGAGTTGTTTCACGCAGACAGGCGTCTAGTACCGAAATGGAGGGCAATAGTGAACGAGAGAGAGGTGGAGATGATTCAGAGGTATCAGACTCACCAGATAGTAACGAGCATCCAAGCTCTGCGCAGAAACCCATCAGTAACACGGAATCAGATAGTGATTTATCACAAATCAGTCTGCGAATGTCACCGGCATCACTGTATAAGGTAGAGACAGTTAGTTTCTTGTCCACAAAGATGTGCTGATGGTGTATATAGGCTGCCCGTAACGCTCAAATTGCAGCTAATGCTGCAAAGGAAGAAGCTAAAACTATGCGTCGTAAATACGACGATGCTATGAATGAGGTACATCAGGATGAGTCTGTTGAAAGGGGATCAAAGAAGGAAAAAAAAACCAAGAGCTCAAGAGATGATGACACGCACCACGAGCAAGTAATCAAGGGACTGGGGCATCAGTTTGAGATAACTCATGCTCTTTGGCTACATGAGCCTACCAAGACTTTTCAAACAACCATTGACGACGAGTATGATAAACTGGACCGTTTTGGCAGCACAGCTGCTAAAGTGCAAGGTCAGCTTCGTGATATTTTAGACATTGTTCCTGCCACATACCATGGTGACCTTCCGAATCACTGGTTAGGCCGTTCAGTGAGTGGTCCAGAATTTTGTAAGCAGTGTTCGAAACTCACCTGATTTTCAGTTCCGTGATGGAATGCAAGAACAGCGGTCAAACACAGCTACTCGTCTTCGATCTCGAGGTGCCACCATTTTTAATTGCACGGAGGAAGACTTGAGGATATCCCGCAAACGATGTGCAAAGTTTAGCGAAGATATTGGGCGGGTAGAAAATGCAAACGGTACCTCGACGTATCATCCATGGAACGTCAGTGTCCTTCATCGTGACTACAAGGGACGCTTCGACATCCAAACAGTTTTTTTGAATCCAATTCTTCAGAAAGTGAGTCAATAACAGCTGAAAAAAAATAAGAACTAAAAGCCAACCAAGCAGACAATGAGCTGTATCATACGAGGGCCTGCATCCGTAATTGCAATGAACGAAGGCGAATCTTCCCGTGCTGCAAGAAACAATGAAACGATGGATCTAAAATGGGGATTAAACCATACAACGCCTGGCATGGTCGCAGCTTCTGCTGTCCTTGTGAGTACTTCTTGAGCTCATAGAGAAATCTGACTAACATACAGGGATTTATTTAGGCTCGTTGGGCCTTATCTCCAGACGAGTGCCTCAAGGAAAAGGGGAACGAATCTGGCATTTGTTGGCACGATGATTTTGACAACTACCTGGAGTACCTTTTAAGCGGCCTTCAAAAACAAAAAAAAAGTGTACTCAATATATTCCGAGAGTGGGATCAAGTCCTTTTCCCCAATACAAGCCATGGACTCGCAGGCCAACTGAGCAACACAGACAGGGATCAATTAATGCAAAGTGTGATGGCTGCATTGAATCATGATGAGGATGGATATGAACAGCCCGAAGGCCATAACAGCCATTCTGAACGAGGCTCTGGGGGACTCAACGAGGGTGGGAACAGCGAAGATGGAAGCGATAACTTCGAGGAGTGAAGGCACATGTGTATAGATAGTGCCTCTGTTATTAGATAAGATACAAATACTAGCGAATTGATGTTATCAATGGCCAGACCTTGAATGACTGATTGGCTTTGTAATCTTATCGATGATCAATCGATCAAGCTTCAATCAAGCTTCAATCAAGCTTAAATCTGGACGACTCAAACTGTAACTGAGGTGTCGATAACGCCAAGTCCAAACACGAGTTCAAGAAACTGTCCAAGACTATGGGAGACAAGTTGGACAAAGAGAAAGGCAGGTTCGTACAGTCTTTACTAACACAATCAACAATAATGATACAGCAGTGATTTGTACCCGCTCTACTTTGACACAAACTCATGGAGAACACCCTTCAGCACTTCAGTCTGCTCGCGGATCGCCCCTCCAACGTCTTCTTTCAACACTTTTCCCACCTCATCAAGATTCTTTTCGATGTTCCGCAATGTCTCTTCCAAATCTTGAGAGACTCGACTGTCTGGTGCTTCTGACCTTGCAACTCTCCTCCTTTTCCCTGGGTTAAGCGGTGAGAGCTCCATTTGTGATACGAGGAATTGACGCGCCCCACGACCGGTCCCAGGAGTCAATGGGGGAATAATATTGACCATCTGCTGAATGGTACCAACGGTGAGCCCAAATTACTGTGATCTCAATATGTGTACCTCATTGTCAATGGTATCTTGATCACCTATGCGACGCTTCAAAGGGACGGTGCCTTTTCCATCACTTTTTCCTGTTGTCTCGGCAACATTTACCACAGAGTTCTTTCAATCAAACTGGTAAGTCACAAAACATAATTCTTGTGTATTGAATTTCTTACCTCTTTGTTTGCCGCATTAAAAGAATTGACCAGGTTCACACCAGGCGTAGGAAGTTTATCAGCACTCGCTGTGTCATCTACCCGGGATTTAGTGGGTGTTGAAAAACTCGGGGTACTTTGCTGGTATCGTTCAAGCCGATTGTACTTATAACGCCCTTTTCTATCCACAGGACATCCCTGACCAAATCCACCACCATCATGGTATGATATCACACCGTCAGATGTGTGCGTGCTTGTGGAGCCCAATCTCAGCACTGGAGAGTCTTTGGTTGGCGGAGGCGGCGTAGGTGTACGAGGTGAGACCAGGGGACTTGTTGCAGCTACAAGCCCTGCATTATTTTCCTTCTGCTTTACTGAATATGTGTCTCCATGAATTTTCAGCCAGTGTTGCTCGAGTTTACTGGGACCTTCGGCAGCATGTGCAAGAACTGTGGGAGCAGCATTATTATAAGTAGATGACTTTGAGCTGTTTTCTGACGACGACGTCTCTTCAATACAAGGCGTGGAACTACGTCGTCGTCGCTTTCCTGTGTATGATGGCATGGGTTGTTGGATTATGGGTCCAAGTGTATTGTTGGGCTCCACTTCCAGTGAGCGAGGATACAGTATCTCTTGATAATTAACTAATCATGACGTTTCTAGCTCCACCAGCGCCACATGTTGTATATAAGGAGGGTGAGGCTCCCGCCTGTCGTTCACATGCTTGCTCCCTTTTGAATACCACCAACACGAACACTTGATGTTGCAGGCCTTTGAGTCTTCAAACTTACAAGGTATGTCATCAGGCTACACGATGCACACTCATTTATTGATAACTCAAATATGCTTGCAGAGCCAATCAACCCTGATGTTTAAACGAGGAAGCCAGCAGCCAACAAAGAACACGGCTAGGAGCCGCACTACTCAGGTATGTATTATAATCTTTCTGACTTTGGCATCAGCCTCAATGTTGTCTTCCGCTATAGCAGCCATCAAGCAGTCAGTCTCGCTGGCTGTTTCTGCAACACTAGGAGCAAAATTTCCCCTTCCGATGCCTGGACCATCCCATATTAATGCTTGCATTATCACTCAACTTGCTACCCATCTGAGGAATGGGATGAGAATCATGAATCAACGTGTACGGTATTTACTGATACTAATGGCTTAGTAATATACAAATCTACCTCGGGGATATCACTTTAACAACTAGTAGATACTATTTACAACGAAATACTATGGCTTCTATTGTCTCTTTTTACTCTAAGCTTTAAAATTGAAAACCGGCAAAAAGCAAACAAAAGCATATATTAAAAACTCCGTATTAGGCCGAACCAGGCGCGATAGGACTGTTGAGCCTTACTGATACCAGGTCAGCGTTGTCCGTGTCCTCTGCCTGAATCGACGGATATCCTTGATCACAGCACTCAGGCTGAATTGACAGGTCAGTCTGGTGAGCTCGATCAGCGTACTTCGGCACTTCAGCGCGATCAGCCGTGTCAGCACGATCAGCCATGTCAGCGCGATCAACGTGGCTAGCGTATTCACACTCATCACGCGTATTATCCTTACAGGCATCTGATCGAACCTGTCCGCAGCGTTTTGTATCTAATATGTTATCCAAATTTCTTACAGCGTTATCAGGTCGCATTCGGCCAAATCATGAAAAACGGATTTTTGCGACATGTCTGCTGAAGTTGTAGACTGACGTTTTTATAAGAAGAGAACCGTGACCGACCTACAGTCTATAGTCCTTCACCAGCACAAGCCAGAACCATATCGATCTTTTAAGATTCTGGTGTCTCTACAAATTTGATCCCATCAAGTCACTGACAGACCGAAACGTGACCATTACCATAGGAAAACCCCATAACCTAATACCCGGAACGAGGATGCTTTTGAGGATGAGTCTGACTATACAGACTTAGAACTTTTTCAGTAAGGCCACAATGGTAGTTCGTGTTGAGCTTAGATCGTATTGCGAAGAAAACAGAAAAGATCCGTAGAGATTAGCAAGTGCTTGGGCTGACACAGTATCTGCAATTGCGAAGAACACTCGCGGGTGTCGAGCCGAGCGTCCGAGTCGTCGAGTCGATGCGACCTCGACACGTGGCACTTACTGAAATGCCTTCGTTGCCGTTCACAACAGCGAGCAAGGCTAGTCTCCCTTGCTTACCTAATTCAATATATGATAAGTCGATATCTTGTAAATAAGGTCTGCACCAAAGTAAGACCATTTGGCGTGAACCCCCCTTCGGTGCCAATAACACGAATATTGAGCTCTTTTGCACCTCGATTTTAAACTCAACCGCTCCGATTGAATATGGCTGAGCATCACAGTAAAGGCTAGCTATTGCTTCAACCAGCGTAACTCACCATCTAGCCTTTGTGTGAATCGGTAGAGTTGATAGTGAAGCTCTCAGATGACAAACAACGCTAGTTTCAAATTTTTCTTCCATCCCAAACAGATGCTGAGCCATTGAGATAGTGAAACTGTCAGCCACTCCAATTAAAATGCCACTACAAATTGCAGATACACCTGAACCAAAACATGGGCAAAAAGAAATGGGATATTCAGAGTCATATAGGTTCAAGGTGCTACATAAATTGTTGTAGTTGCGATACAATAGTAGGGATCATATACATAACATTTGTTCTCTACAGTAGCTGTTTCAGCTGAAGCCTTTATGTGCTTTTTCCTGGTGACTAGCCACAAAATGCCGAGTTCAAGCCGAATGTGCCGCTCATGGTGCCTTCTCTATTACTACCGAAGCGGGGGTTCCTGCCAAAGGTCCTTACTTCGGACCAGACTAGAGCAACTTGGGCCCAGGCTGGTTATCCAAGCCAAGGCCTATCAATACCACGCCTCTTATCGCGGAGCCATTACACTTACTATGGAATTATCAGTACCTGTCGACGTCAGTTCTCGCGGTTTTACCTTGTCGATCACTGTGAATCCTACGACTACCGACAGGACAGATGGGTACATATGTAGGATCCGTCAAATCACAATATCCAGGGTATAATGGCCACGAAGTAAGGGATTCAAGTTGCGCCTACATAAAACTTTCGTTAGCGCGATATGGACTACAACTCTTCTGCGTACTTATCGTCATCTCTGATGGACCGAATGCACTTTGGCAGTGAGTGGCGTTGTGGCCCTGAGGAAGTTGTCCTGCAGGCATCAACGCAAAAGGTAGTGATATTGGGATGATAGTTATCCTCGTTCGCGGGACGAGGACGCAGGACCGAGGGGACGGGAGGTTGAGGAGAAGTAAGTCCTGCACTGGTGTCACTTGACGCATGCAATCAGTAGCAATGCTACTTCTTTGTTGAAGGAATGAATCGACTTCGGGGTGTGCCACCTGAGATATTAGAAGGATCGCCGAACCAGGAGTCTGGCGCGCTCGCCAGTGGATTAGGACAAGCCGTAATGAAGTTAAGCCAATAAGAGTTCCAAGTACGGTGTCATCGAGCGCGCCTTTGGATATAGCGGGAGAAGCAAAAGATATCGTTACAAGCAACGACAATCATTAAATCGATGAAAGGGGGAGGACTTACCTCACCGTAAACACAAACCTACGTACATTCATAAGGCAGAAATTCCAGTAGCAGGTGACAAACAGACAAGACACGGGGACCAGCAAAACCAGTAGGTCGTAGAACAGAAATGTAGCCTACCATGTTACTCGAGGAATTGCCAGATACGTGCTGGCTCCTTAGGATGATGTGTACAGCAGATAAGTCTCAGAATGCAAGAAGTTCAAGAAAACATAAACAAAAAAGCGACTGCGGTATGCGTAATTAATGTGTCTTGGTTGAATTTGAGTTGTTACTGGAACTCGAAGTCGCACTCTTATCCGGATATAACTGTCCACACCACTCAGCGTGTCATCCAATTTGCGGAAGGCAAAAGACTCACCTTTCCTGGGTTAAACAATCCAAGTGGGTCGATCGTCTTCTTGATGGCCCGCATCAGCTCCACCGTACCCTCCCCCAACTCTTCCTCGAGATACTCCCGCTTCCCAATCCCAACGCCATGTTCACCAGTACCTGTTCAGTTTTCTCAATGACATATACAGATATAGAAGGACGTAAAAGGCGTACAGGTCCCGTCAAGTGCGATCGCGCGTTCTACCATTCTATGCACAGCTGTTCGAGCAACTGCTAGTTCATCGTCGTTACGAAAAAGAAGTAGGGCGTGGAAGTTTCCTGTAAATTTTCTTAAGAAACCATCTGCTGTATACAGAAACGTACTCTTACCATCACCAACATGTCCGACTATAGTGGAAGCAACTCCTAACTCGTCTAGATCCAGTTTCGTTTCATATACAAGCTGTGGTAGCCTTGACACCGGAACGCTACCAGCCACACCAATTCACTCAACGATATTACAGATACTAAGAAAATAACCCACCAAACATCAGTACTCCATCCCCTACTGCCCTCCACAAGCGCCAATCCAGAATAGAGGGCGTTCTTACGATCAGCCCAAAGATCTTTGGCCTCACGCTCAGAGCGGGCCAGCTCGAAACCGGTCGCACCATGCTTAGCCACGATTTCGCGAACGATCTTTGCGGTCTCTGCAAGCGAGGCAGGTGTCGGGCCCTGGAACTTGAAAAAAAGGCTGTCGCATTCTGGATAAGTGCGTTCTGATGCCCCATATAGATTCGTCGAACGCATGAAGGCAGAATCAACCAGCTCGACGCATTCTATTGAGTATTAGTGTATTGAGTCCCAGCATATCATCCAGAGATGAACCATCAAACGCACGTATACCGACACCTTTGTTCATCACGTCAATAACGGCTTCCGTCGCCCGCTTCACGTCCGGAAATTGCACCACAGCCACTGTGGTAGGAAGCACTGGAGCGAGACGAATGGTCACTGCGGAGAAGAGGACATTGTCAGATGGTTATATGCGCAGTAAAAGGAAGGTGACGACCTTCTGTGATGATCCCTAGTGTACCTTCGGCACCAATGAAAAGCTTCGTGGTATCAAACCCTGCAGAAGATTTTCGGGCCCGTCGACGTGTCTTAATAACTTTGCCAGACGGAAGGACAATAGTCTATACAATTAATCCATGAACCAGTGGATCAATCCGCGTTTATTAATACATACTGCGTTCAAAAACCACTCTCCCTTGGCTGTACCATATCGAACAGCATTTGCTGAAAGACATACGTGTGTTAGTATCTTATGGCCCAAACGTGACATACAGCCCTAAGATGCACATGACGACACTCACTTCCCGAACATCCGGTACTCATCATTCCACCAATGGTCGCGCCTGGACCAGGATCCAGCTAAAGTAAAGGCATAAGCGCATACGCGAAAGAATACCAGAAGAAATCAGACATACAGGGAAGAACAAGGGTATGCCTATTAAGAATTAAGTAATACAGTCTTTTGTGGATGAACACCATAGCTTACCCATTTTCGCCAACGTGTCATTGATCTCTATCCATCCTACACCAGGTTGGCACACGATATCCGAGTCTGCCTCTATTTCATGTGATAAACCACAAGTGATCGAGTGAAGAAGAAACATGAATCAGGCTGGACTCGGAACGATGGGAGCGCATACATACCATGTATCTCGAGTATCTTATTCATGGAAGACATGTCAAGACAAATTCCACCCACAGCACTCTATATGCGAGGTACACGGGAGAATATGACATTCAGGTGAATGAAAGTCGCTAAGCAGAAAAAATATACTGACTCCTCGGTAGTTGCCCTCCAGACTAGTCCCTCCCGAATATGCAGTCAAAGGCATGCGATATTTGGTAGCGACCTTGACGATCTTGACGACATCTTCGGTGGCTCTCGGGTATACGACAACACTATGAGGCGCACCTGATAGCAAAGAAAAATTAGCAAGAGATTTAAGTATCTACAAAGCTACAAACGCGACGCAGTGTTAAGAGATAGCGGAAATGACGCACCAGGATGATAGTCGTTCTCAGAGAAGCCATGTATTCGGAGGTCTTCCGCATCGGTAGATACGACATCTTCAGAATCAAATGAAAGTCTGAGCTCCTCAATAGCTTTCTCAAAGTCTTTTGGTGAGCCATACTGAGGATCTGAGTCCCCCAACGTCCGCGAGAAAGATGACCGCAAATCAAGACGTGTAGCAATAGCATACCCTACAATTCCGCTCCCTATCGACGCCAACGCCAACGTCGACCACCCTCCCACACCTCTGCTTGCAGCACTCGAGCTGGCCTGGCGAACGGCGACGGGCGTCCGCGACCGAATTAGATATTGACATTGTTGAGCGTGAGGAAGTCGTGTCAGGCCTCCGATAAGCTTATTAGCTCTGTCGAATAGCCGCAAGGGACGGAAGGGGAAGGACGAAAACATGAGACGCTATAGTACAGCAAAGGATGAAACTTCCCAGAACACAAAAAGTCGTCAGTATTATCGTGAGGAGGAGCGGGTCGATGTGCGGATTTAGGCCAACATGTCAATAGAGGCAATAAAGAGCGGGAATGAGAATCTTGTGGATGAAGCGTATTATTAGGTATAAAGCATCAGCTTTCTAGGCAATGTCACAGGACACGACAAGTGTCTCAGCATTCGCCTGGGAAGAGGAACACGTATTTGGGTCAGTACTATATCAACTAAGACATAATCTGACACTGACAGTAAGGAAATGCGTAAACTCCTTCCTGAACATCGGGAGTTCAATAGTTCCAGTTATTACGCGGGAACCGAGTACGGTATGTCTTTTACTACAACCCACGGTGACGAAGTGGGTAAAACTGTCCTCAGTTTGTAAAAGCTAATTCAAGTTTTGCACCAGTCTCGTTAGGCCACACTCCTGAAGAAAGTTTCAAGGCTATCCTAGAGTTCTCGGACGGGTACATTTTCATTTCTGATCCTAGAGAAAAGGCATTGACAGGCGGTAAATTATCATGTCTCACTACTCAGTTCCAACGGGTCGTCTAAAGGTCGCGTTGGTATGTTATCTAATATTCTTCGCTTCAAATTGTCTAACTCTTGAGTGCAGTGGCGCTGTTGTCATGTTGCATGACACGACACCCGGTCCATGTTCTTTTCCGTCAATTCGCGTTAAAATTCCTTTGCCTCCTCCAGATTTGAAGTCGCTATGTGTTTGACGGTCTTTTGAGTACGCGGAACCGCGATAACTCGTCCTGGTCCTCAATACCACGTTTGTCATCGGCGGAAATCATCAAACATCTCTGAAACCACCACTTTAGCTTGGAATTAGTATATCCACTTTCCTTTCCTTTGCTCTCTGTTACGTGCTATCTGTCTGGATTCGCGCAAAATTTGGATTGCACCAATAAGCTGAGACATGACGTTAACGCTTCGCTATTCCTAAAGTGAACGATGATATATGCCTTGGATTCGCGATGGATGTAATCAAATTCCAAAGACATACACGAGGTAAACCAGGTACGGTAAAATCTCACTGTTTTACTTGTACATAACTAATAATTATACACCCTGAAGAATTCATGATACCAGTGTCCTATTGCACGGCGAGGGCTCCAAAGCGTTCCAACCTACAGAGACTCCACCAGCAACTCCCATCCCGTCTTAGCTCCTCCATCGCCCTTGGGATGCATGCTCACACGTAACTTGCGCCGCTCAAAAGCAGACTGATTCCAAACAGTAATCAACGCCTGCACCTCATCTTTGGGCGTCCTCACAAACTGCGAATCGTACGCCACTCCAGAAGCCCTAGAGCTGAAAATACCGCGAGTCGGAAGCGGGGTGACAGGCACGCGAGACCCAACCGCGCTCAACCCCTGACCCGCCAACCTGGCAGCCATCCCAAGGTCCTCCAAGAACCGTACCCAATCCGCCTGGCCTATCCCATGCTTCTCAAGCAGGTCAGATGGGTAGAGGATTCTAAACCCCGCACCTAGGGTCTCATGCAAACTGGATATACGGAAAGGGGGAAAGTCGTGTGACTTGACACGCAGGGGAGAGGGGGTCGAGAAGCAGTCTGGGGGTGGGTCGAGGGGCTTGCGTAAGTTGGAGAGAATGGCGCGATGGGACTGAGAAGTGAGGTCGATAAAGTTAGGCTGCCAAGGAGGGGGTTCTGAGATGGAAGAAGAGCCAGGAGGGGCATTGGATGAGCAAGGGGGAGGTAAATCTTCGGAAGAGCTGGGGGGTGGGCCTGGAGGTGGTCTGTGCATATCTAGGATCAATATTGGCCAGGAAGAAGAAGCAGTGATTGATAGGAATGTATGTTTAGACGGAATCTCGAAAAGACTGCCTTTCACTGTTTGTCGTCGTCAAGGCGTAACACTGGAATTTCTATGCGTATATGGTTCTGTCCAAGCGGAAACGATCGGGCACAAGAAGCTTACTACATTTGTCATCTGCTGACAAATCTTCAAGAACGATATGCCTTCTTGCAGCCTTGCACAATTGTTTCCTTGTTGGTATGACAGGTTCCACGAATCTGCGAATGTTATAGTACATGCAGGTCGCACGTTTGCAGTTTGCGCCATCGTCCTAACCGTTTAATGTCAGTGAGTATCAATCTCGTGATTAGGATACAACAGAAATCCTGAGAATTCGAACCCATCTAAGCACAGGACGAAGGCCACTGGCACCGACCCGGGTCTTGCCAGTGCCTCAGTCTCGGGTACCTTCACAAACTAGGCTGTTCAGAAGAAAAAACATATACGGAAAGAGGTATTAAAAAATAGTGCACTGCTATGCTCTTCTGGGATTTGCGGGCTCCATGAAACGACCCGGGTTGTCGCGACACCAATACCCGCAAGACGATAGGCCTGAGTTCCGTTCCAGTGGATCTACGTCACGCTCACGGTGTTCATTTCATCCGCATTAACCTTCTACAAGCTATACAATCAGCCTCATGATCCTGGTAGCATCCTCGGAAAACTCGACCCATCTCCATGTTCAGTCGAAAGTTACTAATACTGATCAGGACCCTGGTTCCAGCACCGCCGCCGCAGTGACACACATACGGTAAACATAGCACACACACACACTGCCACACACACACCAAAGCTAAATAATTACCGTGAATGAACGTCACAAAGGCGGCACAGCGAGGAACATGATGCACGATGTGAGTACAACGATGTAGGAGTACCGCATGCCGTCAAGCCTAATTGAAACTATTACGAGCGAAGATAAAATAACTACTTTCCCGAGTCAAGCGCACGCTCTAGAATCACCATTCAATAGTAAGTGCACACTCCTCGACCTCGGAATCCTCGAAAAATCGACTACCAAGTCATCCGGGGCCGCGGCTCTGCTTGGCCGGCATCCCCAAGGTTTAATGGAACAACACGTCATCGTAGAAAGCCGGACGGGAATGAACGAAGGATGTGCCTTTTATGTAGTCAGTCTTCTGGCCTGACGAATCATCCAAAACCTGTCAAGGAGCCTGTTATAGATTATCACTAGCCTAGCCAGATGGTATTCAAAACACACGGAGCCTTTCTCACTGGCGTATTATAGATACCATATACTGATGCTGTTTGACAACCAGGGATGCCCGTTGACCCGAGGTACAAATGCGATGAGGCGATAACGGATTCCTATTGCAGCTGGGAGTCTGAAAAAGAATGATGTATACGGGAAAATAGCGCACAGAGTCACGCGACATATATCCTCACTATACACGAATACATCAATTATGTATATTCCAAAGATGCATATGTTAGATGGAGACACAGCGGTACAACCCGTACGGCAGGCAAACACGGGTCTCTCCCGTAAGTTGGTACCTTTGGTTGGGACATAAAGAGGGCGAACTGTTTAAGGTGCATTGTCTATATAGCAAGAACGTCTAAAAGAAGACGGTTATTCCATAAGGATCATCAGCTCAAGAGGCACAACTTTAGATAAAATGAAAAAGATGCTCACTGTCTATAGCTATATGGCACATGAATTTTAGGTCATGTAAACTCGGAATCTTTTGCTTTTTTCATTTTTTTCATTTTGGAAGTTTATAAGGGCGCTGAAAGAAAGTTGAACTCGATACAAAGGGACTGCTTTGGCTACAATAATCCAGGGAAAAACCATGCTGGGACTCTAGCCGCATAGGCATCCCATTCGGCACCGAAGTTCTTTCTGAGTTCGCCGTCCTCGGCGTAGGCTCTGCTGATGCAAACTGATATGGCCCAAATACACCAACCGGTACCTAGGACCACAGCACTCATCTGACCAAGAGGCCCGCACTCCCGCGCCCAGCTGCCGCGGGTGCAATGCGATAAAGCAAGTCCTGCAACGAGCAATAACGATCCTGTGTAAGAAGGGTGTCGGACATATCGGTAGAATCCGGAAGTGACGAGCTTGTGTTCAGGGTGGAAAGTGAGATCAAAGGTAAAGAGGTGACCTAGTTCGCGGAAACAGCGGAGACGGATAAGGACGCCTGAGAGAGATACGAGAACACCGATCATGAAGAGTGGTGTAATAGAAGAAATGGGCCGTGTGGTCGAACTGAAGAATGGCTCTACTTGGACTGGCAGGCATGGAACATAGAAGTTGATGGCTGAGATGGCTTCGAAGAGGGCGCAAAGCCAGAGTAGAGTGGTGTGTATCTAATAAGCCAAATGATCAATACAACTAAGTGTGAGGATTGAGTGAGGAGCTTACCTTGAACATGAGGGGGGCCATCTGGAGAATGTACGGCTCGTTTGTATGGTAACGAGTTTTGACATTAGTTGCATTGGGCGGAGTACATGCAAGCTGATTGCCTATTGCCTGTACTGAGACGAGGAGAGCACGTACGACGAGTGACATGAGTGAAGAAAGATGTGGGCTGCGAGACTGAGCAAAAGATAGAATGTGGAGGCCATTTATAGGAGGAAGAATATGAGTAGAGTCGAAAATACACATATGAACTCGGATATCTCGCCAAGGAAGATTCGTTCATGTTGAAAGAGGAACCCTGTAATGAAAGATCCTCGTGGTCAGGGAAGCAAGAAGACTGTTGTCCGTTCGACGGGTCGAGATAAGAGCAAAGTTTATAGATGCCATACGAGTGGAGTCCAATAGAATAAAAGTTCTTTGCAAGCATAAAGATGCCATATGAGGTCTTGGTTCGAACCCACCAAGTATATGGTAATTTTTGTGAATTAAACATTGTTATCAATCCACATTACTGCTGGTTGATTTTCAAGTGACATGACTTTTTGTTGACTACCTTAGTAGTTAGGTGTTAGTAAAATCAAATCAACGTCAACGTTGATCAACCCTGACCGTAGCCTGGCAGAACCACTGTGGCCTGCTCTGGTCCGCGGAGAGACGTAAGGAGTGAAGTGTTCATTATAGTGTAAAGACAAAAGATGCGTCCGCTCTAGTAGCAGCCGGTGTCTGCCGCGTGTGTATCGAATCCGGTCAACAAAGTCCTAATAAAATTGACACTCAGATCAACGCAAATCGGCGATCTTGATCGTAGTCTCTGTTTTCGCTCTGTTGTTAACTTGAAAATTAGTTTACGAGAAAAATAAAAACATAGCAAACTGTATTTTATGACATTCACATCTCTTACACTTGCTTTCACTCACGATTTCTCGCTTTCCCTCGCAGCTCTTCGCTTTGTATTACAGCCACTACACCCAGGTAACGTATCTACACCTGTCAACCGTCCATTTTGAACGTCGTAACCGATCCCAGTCTAGTGCTGCCTAGAGCAGACCACATCATCGACTAGAATCTTACCTACTCTTTTCGTGCACTGTCCCCAGTTTTCCCGAGCCCATCGCAGAACCTTCGTCGCTTTCCAAATGGCTGCAACATCCTGGTCCCCATCGTCCTGGAAGTCCAAACAAGCCGCACAGGTGGGAAAACTACTTCGCTCCTCATTTTTAGCTCTTTTTCTCACATAATATATACTCTATGATTGCGTCCTTGATGATTATCTTAGGCTGTGAATTATCCCGACCAGGACCATCTCGCTAGGTTGGCGTCTCTCTTCAATATCCACGTTACCGCGGATTGACCCTTCCCTTCCTCCCTTTACTATTTGTTCACGCCAGAGTGTTATCCAAAATAGAAAACTTGCCTCCTCTTGTCACACCTTCAGAAGTATGTAGTAATGATCATTACTCCACTTGTGTTGCAACCATATCTACCTATTCACTTGTATTTCTTCAGATCGAGCGCCTTCGGCACCAATTGAGCGCAGTTCAGCGCAACGAGGCGTTCCTGCTCCACGCCGGCGACTGCGCTGAAAGCTTCGATGCTTGCACTCAGGTTCATAACCAATCTCCCTGCAAAGTTTTAGGTTTTTGTGTGTTAACGACAGACTCCATATAAGCAAAACATCTCGGCCAAAATTGGCCTGATCCTTTCGTTTTCTCTCATACTCATATGGGGGGCCAGGCTTCCTATTGTACGTATAACGCCCTTTTCTCTACGCTCTGCCAGCCAGTTTCAGTTCTCACGTCCACCCTTAGGTACGCATCGGGCGCATTGCAGGACAGTATGCTAAACCGCGGAGTAGCGGGACAGAAAAAATCGGTGATAGGGAGGTCCTGAGTTTCCGGTACGTTGAAATTTTCTGTTTCAGGAAAGTTGCACAAAATTCAATATCAGCGTTGACAGTGGAGACAACGTCAATGGGTAACTTACTAAATCGCCAGTGAATGCCCGTTGCTTTAAAGTTCTGAACCTCGTTGCATAGGTTGGATCCAAACGACAGGACGCCTGACCCAGACCGTCTTCTCAGGTTCGTGCACCACAAATCACATCATCGTCCTCATGCCATCATCACATACATATATCATGCTGATTTCGGCCGCTGTCGTTTGTTGTTGCAGCGCTTACTTCCATTCGACAGCCACACTCAATTACGTTCGCGGTTTGTTGACATCCGGTTTTGCTTCTTTGCACCACCCACGAGATTGGTCTCTTTCTCATGTCCGGTCCCCGGCCCTTCGGTTAGTGGTGTAAAACGTTCCTACTTTCCTTTCTAGTCATTCTGAAAAAAAACGCATCTGGCTTTTCACAGAAAAGAGTTCGAAAATATCGTTGAAGGTCTTTCTGACGCTCTTGACTTTACTCGTACTATAGGTGTCAGCTCTGGTCGAGAGAGCGCAAACTACGAAAAAGGGGGTGGGAGGAGCGTTTTAGGAGAAGTTGATTTCTATACAAGGCAAGTCTTCACATTATCCCCTACCGGACTCCATAACGGCACCTGCCCAAGTCATCAGGATCCCTAATTTTTCATATCATTGTCTAAAAAAACTGCACGTTTAGTCACGAAGGATTGATGCTGAATTATGAACAAGCCATGACTCGTGAATTCGATGTTGCAGGAGCCTCCCCATCGCCGAGCTCCCCGCTCAGCTCCCCAGCGAGTCCGCCGCCGACATCAACGGCGTTCTATAATACGTCTGCCCACTTTTTGTGGGTAGGGGATAGGACTCGACAGCTCGATGGAGCGCATGTCGAGTATTTCAGGGGAATCCGTAATCCCATCGGCATCAAAGTTGGACCTAGCCTTGCCAAGGAGGAGTTAATTCAGTTGCTTGACAGTAAGTACCTGGAACACACCGTGCTGCCATCTCCATCTCCCATTTTCTTCCCCGCGGACCGATCACGATTCTCTCTCGAAAATCTATTGTTGTACACTCACCTTCACATGTTTTTTTTTTTTTTCGCAGTCGTCAATCCTGATAAAGAGAGTGGTCGGGTAACACTGATCACAAGGTACGGCGCAGGAAAAGTAAGTTGCCGTCATAGCAGATACATTTTTCCACATCTCATTCCTGTTCCTACATTATGTTTTTATTACTTTTATTAAATAATAATAAAATAATCTAGATCGAAGACCATCTCGGCAGCCACATCAAAGCCGTCCAACAATCCGGTCATCTCGTTATCTGGGTCTGTGATCCCATGCACGGCAAGTGAGTGGGCATGCATAATTTTCGTCCTGTACAGACCTTTTTATTATTTTTCGATGCTGAATCTGAGTCTGACCTGGTGATCCTTCACCCCCCTTCTGCTTCCTTTCTAGCACTCTCACTTCGGCCTCCGGTTTAAAGACTCGCAATTTCGGCACCATTATCAGCGAGCTCACATCCTGCCTTCGTATACACGCGGCATGTGGTTCTTGCCTGGGTGGTGTCAGTCTAGAATTCACAGGAGAACTGAACGACGAAGGGTTCAGTGTCACGGAATGTTTAGGCGGAAGTATGGAATTGAGCGAAGAACAATTAGGTTTAAGATATCAGGTGTGTACTATGGCCTCGATCGGTTGTACTCGAGCTCGTTCTCAGCGTTTACATTTAGTCCTTCTGCGATCCAAGATTGAACTTCGAGCAGTCACTCGGTAGGTCTTGGGTAATCGCATGCTAAACCTGTACTCATAGATCAACATCAGATGTTGCGTTCCTCATCTCGAATCACTTCAAGCAGGAACGCCGCGGGGAAGGCCAGAGCCACATTTACACTGAACTCGGAGGGGGAACATAGGTGAACTAGTCAAAAGGCAAAAGAAGAAGCTTTGGACAATGTAATACAAATGAGTGTAGCACAACCATGTATGTCAAAAAAAAACATCTATAGCGATACAGCGGACAAATACAACAGGCGTCTTTGGTTTATAGCAACGTCTACGAAAGATCAAAGCCAGCACCGGAAGTGATGGCTTGTAGCAGCTTTTGACGCAAAACGGCTTCACTTTGATATCGAGGCAGCTGCCAAATTCTTCAACAATCAATATACCAGCAGAGGGAAACCGGACAAACCTTCAGCAGGTTGACACACGTACTGGAGGTAGGTAGTCGTTTTTCGTCGCTGCCAGAGTCTCGGATTGCGAAATTGGGAGCGAGCTCTTTGAAACCCCTATTTCAAAAGCGCAAATGTCAATTATGTAACGACATGTTAAGCGAGTAAAAACCTACAATAGGGGTGGCCGACTGCAACTGGTGACGAAACGCAAGAAGGCGCGACGCTGCTCTTGGTCGAAAGAATTGACGACCTATTCATAGAGTAAGAACAAAGCGAACAGCACGGAAGTCTCTCACGGCGAACCTTCCAAAATATCTCAATTGTAGCGTCTTTGTCATCAAACAGACCACCATAACTGGTGTTTTCTCTCAAGTCGTCAAGATCTATCGGAGAATCGACACCACCGAGTAGAATTTGGAGTCCTTGTTGGTTGAACATACTGAAAACTAATGTGAGCTATGCCAGGACAAAAAATTCAACATGAACGAACCGTAGCCATTTTGGGTCAATCATCTCCGACAGTCCTTCAAAGAATGCATCGCTTTGCTGCTTGATCTGTTTACTCAATCTGTAATGAGATACGAGATAGATGTACTGCAACCGATTTTCTCGCGTCACGGCAACATTACTACCATCCGGGATCAAGTCCACAGTCTTGGCTACGCCAAATTCTACACGAGTCGTCAGGAAGCACAAATAATTTAATGCCGAGTAGAACAAACCTTCGACTGCAGCGGTGAAGTTCAATGACAAATCTTCCGGGTTACCCGTGTAGTTCTTCAAGAATATAAGACCTTGATACAAGTCAGGGTCCAGAGAAGCCAGATCATCTAGAAAACTTTGTTTCCCCAGCCACTAAAGACAAATACGATTGATATTTTTGATCACTCAAACGCACAACAAAATTAATCGTTACCTTGGCGAGGAAGAATCCGGCAAAAGCAACTTCGACAAGAATGCCCTCGTAAAGTGCTTTCCCTAGGATTCGGCCAATGAACCGGTACCAATTCAAGCTGTGGGCTATATTGAAGTTAGTATAACATGAAGGGTTATGATGGACTATATATACTCGCGTTCTGTGGCGTACGAATGAGGATTTGGATACAGCTCGTTCTTCTTGGTCGCGAGCCAAAGGCCCCGGTTCGTGTCAAACACTTCCTTGCACAAAGAAGTGAAAAACTCTTTGAACACACCGCCACCGTCTATGCCAGCTCTGCAAAGTCCCTCTTAGTCTTAAGCATATCAAGAAAGTAGAATGAAAATTACTCTGGTTCTCCGAACTGATCGATGAATTCTATCCTTATAGGAGCTTTGAGATTGGCTTCAGACAGACGGTCGAAGCCATCTTCGGCAATATGGCCTCTCCTGACCGTGATGACTGTCCGATTATACCTACTGAAATGATCTACGCCTTCCTGGACCATGTTGCTTGCGACGAAATTTCGGAAAATGGAAACCCGAATTTCGAAAGGAATAGCGAAAGGGATATTGTTCAGCACACCCAGACGAGGCGACATATATGCTATTTGGCGTGACGAGAAAGGGCGTGCACCCGGCGGCTCGGACAGCTTCTGCTCTTCTAGCCTGTTTACGCGATAAGTTGGAGAAAAATATGTCAGCGAGAAAGTAAATACTGACACGGCAGCCTGGATGAACGACTTCATATCAATCTGGAAACCGACGTGCCAATGTTCTGGTGGAGTGAAAGGCTTCCTCGAACTAGAGACCAAGCCAGTAAGACTGGGTTTGATCCAACTACACTGGAACACTTACTCTCGAGCATGGATGGCCTGTAAACATCTGGTAATCCTTTCTCGCACGCTTCCCCATTTCAAGTTCAAGCCTGACACGCCATCTTCTTGTACTTTCGTTTGATCTTCTTTCCAATAAAGAGTAAACGCAATGTTCAATAATTTGCGAGAGAACAATATAAGCTCGTCGAGTGAAAGAGATGTTCTCGAATTCGAGAAAAACTCGTCGTCGCTCATGGTCAACAGTGATTGGGTGTACAAGTCAACCAAGAAAATCAAAGGATGCCACCAGAGAGCGTGTGCAGGCTCTACACCAACACGTTGAGAAGCTTCATATAACTAGAAAAAGCGGCAAAGCTCACCCATCAAAGTAGCCGGGTTATCATTCTGTCCAAGAGGCGAATTTCTGACATGTTCACGGTAAATTTCACGCACAATACCGCCACCTCCATATACCAAGACACTGCCTAATACCTTGCTTCTTTGAGCAGGCCATATTATGCATACGCCCAACAAGAAGGACATTAAATCAGACAGAACGCCACGGTAACGCTGGCTGGCTTTGAGTAGAGCGTTCAGGTGGGAAGACGATGGGAGCGTCTGCAAGCGCTTCCGAGTGCGAAGGTCAAGTCTGGGTAAAACAGCTTGGGCAGTGAAAGAAGTGACAACGGAAACTTGCGGAGCAGCGTCAGAATCAGAATCATAGTCGTCCACCCAATCCGATGGCCCTGCTCCTGGACCAGGTGTCTCTGAAGCGTCGAGGGCAAATATGGGAAGGGAGTTCATCAACGTAGTGAGTAATTGCAAATACGTGCTAAGTGATGGAGCAGGGAGAATAGAATATCGCGGTGGCGTGAAAGCGAGAAGGTTGGCAATGAGGTGGATTCTCGACACGAGAGAAGCAGACGCGACTATTGTTGAGATATGCGGCGACAGAATATGGAGGGAGGTTAAAGGAATCCTTGCAGAGAGTTCTGTTAATGACTTCAGAGGAATACGATAGGGAAGTAGAGGGATGGCGAGTATGTGCAGGAAAAAAGCTGGAAGATATTGTGGTAGCCCAATGGTTGGTTCGGATACAGTTGAAATTGATAAGGAAATAAGTTTGATGATGTACGGTAAAACAACAGCATTCTTCGACTCGATGCTCTGTGTGAAGTATTAGTGGAAGGTACAGACATAGATCTGTGAAGACTTACGATTGCTTGAATAGCCGTAGAAAGGTAGTGGTACAAGTCGCGTTTCGCGAGATAATCAGTGATAGTCGCGGTAGCATACTGTCCATCAGGGCCAAGCGCTTGCGTAAGGATAGATTCGTCCATGAGTGTGCACAGGATCTGAAGATGAGATACAGCGTGATCTGATCTGGGACGGATAAGCACCAGAGATTAAAAGAAAGGTGATCGCAAGACTCACTGTGGAGTGCCCGCAATGGATTGCAGAAGGAGTAGACATGCCTGGCGTATCAGGACAAGCCAACTTTCTCGATCAGGACCTTGAGCAAGTCGCAGCAAGCTTCCTACAATAAAGTTAGGATTGGACATTTGTATACGCGAAGACCTTACCATTTCCATTACTCGTGACTGCCTTTGACCATTGACCGAGAACAGCCTCGTCTCGTCCAATGAGTGCCAGGCATCGAAGACCTGTGATATCCGTGATGTTCTGAGTAAATATTTCGTAGAGATTTCTACGTATTCTCCTGCTCTCCAGTATTCCCCGCCACACTGCCTGTATCTTAACTGCACTTTCTAGCCGCTTGCGCAGTTCTTCTCGTTCGATTCGGCGAGCTCTAGCTCTATCCAAGATAGCAGCTGAACTGGAAACAGAACTGGAACCACCAAGATTGATTTCGCGCCGTCTTTCTTCACCACCAAGAAATGGGATCATATTGGAATGTGGACTTGGGGAATGAATTACAGATCTAAATGGTTACAGCAAAAGACTGGAAACGATATACAGATGCTCTTCAGAGCGCTGACGAATGCAGAATTGTCTGGGGTTAGGGTTTGCATACTGCCTTATCAATATTACCCAATGAGCGCCCACCATAAGGCAAGGGTAACATCACGTTTTTACTTATACAACTACACTAGCATTGTCAGAACTATGGCAGTGGAGCCAGGCATACGTACGCGTTGCTGCCTAGCGTATTATTACTCTGATTCGCTGACAGGCGGCAAATATAATCCTATTCGACCACAGTACTTCGTTTCTTGTTATCAAGACGGCATGGCGATAAACTAACTGGTAGTATTATCCTGTTGAACCGGACAACCACTTCGTAGATATCATGGCCAGCTTTCTCGCTGTTTGTTTTGCTCACTGCAGGACATGATGATGCCATATCACCATACTGGAGTGCTATATCGCAAGGTGTATTCTAGTGCTTCAAGCATGTGATCCGGTTTGCTCACCGTTGCACTGCTTCCGGCGCTAGTTTGTCGTGTCCGTATGGTCCAATCTCCTATTCTTCGATGCGCCGCGTGACTCCGAAGCTCACTTCCATGGTGCTCTGATTTACCGTGGTTTCACTTGGCTACTATAAATGATTTGAATCTCACCCATTGCTGCTGCTTCATCCCTCTCTTCACCACCATGCGGGCTGCTATCTCTCTCGGACTACTTGCATCTCTCACAGCTGCTGGTGCTGCAGATGTTATCAAGCTTTCTGCTCGTAAACCAACGGCACCGCTAAAGCGCAGGTCGCTCCAGCCGACCAATGTCCCTCTGGATGATTTCTTCCTCAACACGGATCTCCAGTACGTCCTTAAATATTTGTGATCTACTATGGAAAAGCTCATATAATTGTTCAGGTGGTACGGTAACATCACCGGTACGTAGTTATTATAGCCATATCGAATCGCACGTGCTCATAGTTCGTGTGCAGTCGGCACTCCTCCCCAGGAGCTGACAGTACGTACCTTCTTCGCCTTGCACCACTTGATTATAATTCGGTCTTCAGGTCGTTTTCGATACCGGAAGTTTTACGCTGGAGGTTGCCAGTACGTCACGTCATCATCTCAAACCACTGCATTTCCAACTGACCCTACTTCAGGCGTCCAATGTGGTAGCGCATGCAGCAACCAGAAACTAAAATATGACCCTTCGAAGAGTTCGACCTACGTCGACGGTGGTCAGCAAACCACTCTTGCATTCGGAACCGGCGTAGGCGTAGATCCCGTCGTAAACAACGATTACGTCCTTACAGTAGAAACCGGTACAGATACTGTATCTGTTGGTGGGTACACGGTGGAAAACGTAGACCTCTACACCATCGTGGACCAAACGCCCAAGTTCAACCTTGACCCATTCAGTGGTATCCAGGGTACGTTTTCTTTCAGATAGACATGCGAACCCTTAGTAAAATTGTCCTACGTATAGGTTTATCTCCTGAGGCACAGGGTCTCTTCCAGGGCCTCGTTAACCAGGGCCTACCTTGTAAGCTTATTTCACCCTGAAAGCTCTCATCACAGGTTAAATAGCCATATACAGCTTTGTTCGGGATGTACCTGACTGCTCAGAGCGTTGGAGGTGCTGAACTGACCCTTGGTGGCATTGATACCTCAAAATACTCTGGTTTGTTTTCCTTTTTTTTTTATGGAATCATCTCATAGCTTATAATTTTCCTTCGCTCGCAGGTTCCCTCACGTACACTGACCTCGCGTCGTCTGGTGGCAACTGGGAGGCTTCTGCGAGCTCCATCGCCGTCAATGGACAAACTTCATCCAACCTCAACTCAAACCAGGTGTTCATCTTCGACAGCGGCACCAGCAACATTGTGCTCGACCCCAGCCTCGCCGATGTGAGCAAATTACAATGGTTCGTCAGAGAAGGGAAATACTGACGATATTATACGCTCTTTTCATTAGGACGCAAACGCTCTCATCTCGCCTGACATCCAGCCCTTCTCTGCCGAGCCCGGTGCATACGGGATCCCCTGCAGCAAGATCTCCTCCTTGCCTGCCGTCATCGACTTCACCTTCACTTCCCAATCCGGCAATGCATTCAACCTGACTATCCCCAGCAGCGAGCTCAACGTCGGTCCTTTCGACAGTGACAACTCGACCTGCCAGACCCTCATCAATTCGTTGAGCGGTACTAACATCATTGGTGGTAGCTTGTTGAAGCACTACTACAGTGTTTGGGATGTCGGCCAGCAGCGCTTGGGATTCGCAGCTAACGGTAATACATTTTCACCTCATCTGAGTCTATTATGATACTCATCAATTCTGTAGGACACTAAACGACTTTTGGTAGAAACAATGACGAATAATTAATGTGTGTGTGTAGATGCTAGTGGTCTCAAGTGGACAAATGTACCTCGCATTGCTATCTGTTGTCTAGAAGGGATTCATTTCTGACGTCGTCTTTCATTGTACACGATTTTACGCAAGTCATTGGAAGGCAAGTAATGATACACTGAAGTACTAGGAGCATAAATAGTAGGGCCTGCATAATGCTTTACATGTAGTAAAGTTCAAGCACGGAAATACATACGAGGTAAGTTACAGTCCACTTCATTTTTGCGACATACGCATAAGTCAAAGGACTCGACTTCAATTCGTGATTCAGAATACGAAATTCAGGTCTTGTATGCCTTGTCACTCAGTTTTGCTCCATTTCCCCCTCCTACTTAGCGAGGCTCTTCTCGAGCTCATACTGGAGAGGGTGATCACCGATCGTCTCTTTATGAACTTTGCCATTCTGGGAAACATCCATCCTCCAATAAGTTCGCGGGTCACTCAGCGAAGAGCACACTTACGATCATGATAACATCGAGATTCTCGCGTTTGGACAACAAAGAAATATCCTCGAGTGGGTTTCCGTTGACTAGCAAGAGGTCGGCGTAATACCCAGGCTGGACTTTACCTAGCTCGTTCGGGTGGAGCATGATTTCTCCACCGAGGGCTGTTGCAGACAGAATGGCTTCCATCGGAGTGTAACCGAGCAGCTTGACGAAATGTTCGAGATCGCGATATGTGCTGTTGACTCGCGTCAGAATGGTCAATGGTGAAGCAAATATAATATTTACCCGTGAGGAGTCCAGGCGAAACTGAAGTAAGAATAAAAACATTATTCAGTCAGGACTGAAGTTCCTTTAGACGAAGGTGTTGGACCTTACCCATAGTCGCCTCCAGGCATGATCTGAAAGACGTCATAAAATGTCAGAGGGATACTGAAATAAGATGCATCTTACAATCTCACCTTGATACCTCTTTTCTTCATCTCCCTCATAGTAGCAATCGCGATATCAAGCTCTCTGGTGTACGCAGTCTGCTGAGAGTTTGTGACGGGGACTGAAAAAAGTTGCGGCCACTACAGTTAGCACCTACACAAATAGTCTGCATAAACATGGTGTGCGTACATCCTTTGGCCTGAGCCTCATGCACTGTTGCATAAGGGAAGTTCAGAGTTGGAGCTACATAGACACGATCTTTCTGAGCTTCGAGAGCGAGCATGGTAGAGTCCGAAACGAAGGCTACAGGTGATTTAACTCGATGAGCATCTAATAGGTGTCATACAACGGACGTACACGCATGATAAATGATATCTACGCCATATTGCAAGCACTGGACGACAGATTCATCGGAGCGAGCATGTGAGCAAACACGTATTCCACATGCATGGGCAGCCTGCCAAAGGTCCCGAAGTTAGTGACAAAACATACAACGTTTGATGCGAGACGGACCTCAGAACCAGCTGCGACCATGTCGTCCGGGAAAGTAGTATCCTCAGCCCTGAGGTCATCGAGAATTTCGTCTCCACTCATCGAAAATTTAACCTATAGTATACATTCAAAATCTTATAGGAAGACTCATTCTGAGAAACTCACCGCATCCACACCTTCCCCTGCCATCACCTTCACGGCTTTTACGATATCGTCGGCATCATTCACGAACTTTGTGATACCAGGGATCAAAGCACCATCAGGAGGAGCCATCTGAAAGGAACGTGAGCATAGAAATATTAACAGACACAATGAAATACTTACCTCTTGGCCATTAGCGAGGTATCTCGGACCAGGGATCTGTCCTTGATTAATGGCATCTCGGACGACCATATCAAGTCGTTGTTTTACCGATGCAGCGCCCACTACAAAACACAATAAACGGCTGACAGAAATGTGAAAAGATGAGCACCTACGACACATAGTGTAACCACAGTCAAGGAAAATATGTGCACTGCGAGCGGTAAACAGTGTATGTTCCTCGATATCCAAGTTTGTCAGACCGTCCATAGTCTCCGAGTTATTGAAGCTCATATGAGAATGAGCGTCGCCTGAAGAACGAAAGGCATGTTCAATAGTCTAGTAAATATGAACTATTGAGATTTGCTTACAGAGACCACTCATGAGTGTACGACCTTTACCTTGGAAGACTCTTGCTCCTTTCAAGGTCTCAGGAGAGAGCTTATCGCCGACGCTGATGATGCGCTTGCCCTTGACGAGGACATCTCCATGATATGGCTCCTTCCCTGTCGAGTCGATGATATTGACATCAACGAAGGCAACCACGCTGTCGTCGCTACCGTTGGCAGCCTTCATCTCAACGCTAGGTACTCTGATACGTGGGTCAGGCTTGGTCTGTTACGCCAAAAAAATCTGAGTAAGTAAAAGTCGAGCACTGAATGTCAGGAGATAAGTACCAGATCGACACCCTTGAACACCGGTCGACGGGGGTCCCATGGCTCACCCAAACCATTGACATTAGCATATTTGGGAGTCTGGGGAGCACTGTCATGCTCCACCATCCTAGAAGCAGAGGGAGTGGTGTCATTTCTTAACTACTCGCACTGGAAGAATTCTACACACCAACGGGGAGGGACCCATTTACTTGTCGGAGGCGCAACTGACGGATCAAAGCTATGGAAATACGGTGGCATCAGAATCCAGCGCATGAAAATAACAGTGAAGCCTGCTTACTTGAAAGTCGGATATGCAGGGGGGCGCTGGATATCGATAGAAGCCATTGTGTACGGGTCACGATGTAATTATACTTCAGCTATCCCTTTCTGTCAAAAATGAGGTGTAGACAGTTATGTTCAGCGGACCAGACGGGACGGAAAAGGAGGAAGTCAAAACCGCAAGGTTTGCATTTGGCGCGCTATATAACTGTGAACACACTGGCGTCATGTCCTTCAAGAAGATGGAGAAACTCCAAAGGTAGGCTGACTGAGCTATCACGGGCGCCCGCGATAATGCGAATATAGACAAGAACAGGTGATAGCTCTGCAGTTAGCCCGACACTCGGCATAGGCACGCTTGGCTCTCACACACGGTATAAAGTTATGGAGGCCGACTGCCTCCAGTGGGGTGAAATGGAACTGGTGTTTTCCAGAGCTTCTGTGAGTGTCATATCGGGCCTAAGCGCTTCACGAAGTGTATCTTAACTCCAATGGGAGAAAGGTGACCTATATATAAACTGTTATCTGATATATCTTTACGTTCCTCCCATGTATGAACTCGCCGAATCTAACCATTCCCTTGGGGAAGGAGCTGAGTAGGCGGATGGTGAACGTATCTCCTCTTCTTTGTAGTCGAATAATTTGACGGTTGATGACGAAATTTTATCGAGACAGGAATATCATCGCTATGAAAAGTTATCACGACTTGAACATAGTAAGATCTGACTTGGTGTGACCAACAGCGAACTTCTAGCGAGGTCAATAATATCGGATATATGCCAAAGGCTGCAATGACATTTTCTCGAGGACTGCAATGATGATAATGCAATTGCTACATCCCCCGCCCTCAAGAAAAAGGGGGGAAAGTCAGATGGTAAGCCAAACATCGTGGTATCCGTCAATAAGGAGTGTCTCCTTTACAACAGCTGAAAGTTCAGGCATCCTGTGACCGGACCAGGCATGTGTGAAAGTCGACAACACTCACCAGATTGATATACCAGAGGCACAATAAAATGATCTAGACTTATTCCCTTACGCATACATGCGCTACTAATAGTGATTGATATTCTTGTTACATCACTATTAAGATACAGTACACCAAGTGTCTGACCCGTATCAAATCAAATGGATGATCCAGTACATCAGACCGACACCATGTACACTTTGACACCAAGAAACTGCGTACCACATTAATATTACCGCCGCTCTCTATCCCGCCTTTCGTCAGACTTGTCACTCCTTCGCCGACTAGAGTCCCTTTTACCATCTGTAGAATAATCACGCTCCCTTCTCCTGTCGCGGTCGTCTTCGCGGTAATCTTCGCGACGATCTCTGTCTCTATCACGGTGTCGATCCGTCTCTCTCCTTCTTGAAGGTGATCTCGAGCTCCGTCGAGACACTTTGCCAGAGCCTGTTGCCGAACCCGACTTCGACCCGGCACGCGGCGATGGCGACAGTGCTCTACTTTCTCCATCCTTCTCTCGCTTTATCACGGGTACATATCGCTTTTCGGGCCTTTTCTTCCCCTTCCCTCCTTTCGAAGCCGATCCATCATCCAACACTTCTCTTTCCTTCGCTCCGAGACCAAGTAGAGCAGGCCTTGCAGTAGGCAGCCATGGCTCTACCATTGCCTTCTTCCCATTCGCCATAGTCCTCGAAGCGGGCGTCCCCTCTTTCCAACCCATCCCTCTAAGCATCGCGGCCCCGAATTGTGATACAGGTATCCGCGTATAGGCGTCTAGCGATGCACTCTCTGGAAGTTCAGACACGTCTTGCTTATATGCGTCTGTTTCAGAGAGGGGTGTCTCTATGATGTCGACAGTATTTTCATCTATGGGTTGACCGTCTGTTTGCGAAAGGAGAGCGCGAAGGGCCCTTTGGTCTTCTGTTTCCTCCACCTCCATTTTTACACTTTCCTGTTCGTGAACCACGGTCTCTACCTCTTCCATTTTTATTGCGCTGCCATTACTGCCAACTTCTGTCTCCAATTTGACCCTCTTCACCTGCAGCCCGGCTTTCACTGGTCCCGAGTTAATCGTATCTCTCGTACCGAGCCCACCTACACTGCCATCCTTTCCGGTTTGTGCAGCAGCAGACGCAGGGACATATTGCTTCGCACTCTTTCTTTTTCGTGCCAACTCGCGCCAATCCTTGTTCTGCAAAGGTGCGATAACAAGCGGACCTTCTTGTTTCTTCTTCCTTTCATATAGGCTATAATTCAAAATAGGAATGGAATTACAGCGACAGGAGGCTTTTGTAAGCTGAGGACCTGAAGAAAAAGGAGCAGAAGAGAATGGAACACACCGCTGTACACCAAACTCGTCGAATCCGGTCACGAGCTCGTCTTGAATCCTATCATCCTCCTCATCGCTAGAGTCGTCTTCGTACCTGTGCTCGCTGTAGGTGCGCTTTGGAGATGCGCCGCCATCGCGGGCGAGGGGACTGCCGGTACCAGAATCTGTGGTGAGATGACGAGGAAGAGAAGGGACTTTAAACGAGCCAGAGTCTGAGTCGGCGCCAGAGGATGTGGCCCGAGAGACAGGCGTCGGACGGCGAATCGTAAACGAGACCTTGCTCGTCGCTGAAAGCTGCGAGGACATCGTCGTTGGTGGAGAAATTGCAGAAACTCAAATGATTGTAGAAAGCCTTACTGTGGGAAAATGTTTTATCGGAGTCAGACGCGGCTGCGTCATGTGGCAATAAATGTCCGCGGCACCGCTTAGCCATCTTCATCTCGTTTGATACAAAACCACTTGTGCTTTTTAAATCCTAATGTGACTGGTACTGAGTCCCATACGTTTCACCAGTGCAATAAGGGTGTTCAGTAGACGGGTTGTACAGTTCCTTGGTTTTGGAATCAAAGTTTCCCGGGACGTGTGGGCTAGGGGCATCCGGTATGTTGGAAAGTATCGGTAAAGAGGTATCTTCATTCAGCCGCTATTCGTACAAAGTGAAACGTGCAAGAAAATACTGGGATCTATGATGATAGCAACAAGGGCAAGATGACTTTACAAAGGGCAAGTTCGTTGGGGGCTCCTTCAAATCTGTAGAGATAATTGATAAGTAATACTCACAGTCTCCACGTTGAAGATTATTTTACCAGATCCTCCTCGTCCCTTATGACAATTAATTCGACTTTAACGTACCTCTCCAGCGATGCCACCAACATCGGAAAAACGTCTAACATGTCTTCCTCCCAAGTATGGCACAAACGCAGGGTCTCCAGAGGTTGATTATTGGCCTTTCGTTTTCTCAAGAACTCGGAGAGGACAAGCCAGTCAAGGCAAGGCTCGTGAAACTCAATCTTGCGAAGTTCAGGCCAAAGGGAGCATTCAATACCAAAAGTTGGGTCGAAACCGATTTGTGCGGGAACATTCTTCTCTAAAGTCCGTAGAAATGTACGCCGAACATCCATTGCCAAAAGTGAGATGTTCAATCGTGGGGAAACTGAGTGCGACGCTGTGTGCAAATTCCCAAGATTGATGTCCACCAGTAAGTGTCAGTGATTTTAGCAAGGGAAGGCAAGGTCTGGATTCAGCGTTGCATGCTAGCAAGTCAAAGTATTTTTGCCATCCTCGAATAGAAGACCTAAGTGTTCTAGATTTGGGGCTATAATAAGGTCGACCAACGGATCTACCATGATTCCTGGGGGGGCATCTCTGAAGACGAGTGACCGCAAGCTTGGCATCAGGATACAGTTAGGGTTCTCACTGAGTGGTCGCCCATAGGAGCTAAGGGATGCTTTAGGTGGTCGAAAGACGGGGCAGCCAGTTATCTCTAAATTGAGAAGTCCGGGTAAAGCAGAAAGTAAGGAACGAAAGTCCTTGTACTTCATGATGACAAGTTCCTCGTTAGTGGTGTGTGACAGCGTTAATGAAGTTAAGATATGGCTTTCTGTTGGAATGACCGAGAGGTTTCCCTTTAAAGAGTGGAGCTTGAGCGAAGCTAGGCTAGGGATGTCCCCCGCTAACAGAAATAGCTTTGGTCCAGTGGGACCATCTATCGGTTTAAAGGCATACTCATCATCGACCAAGGATAGAGACAAGTCTTCCGAGAGTGGCGCATACAAGTCAGCGAAGCTGGAAAAGACGTGATACCCGAGGTATTCGAACGTAGAAATATGCAATTTCTTCCAACGATGAATGCAAGCAATAATCAGGGGTGTCGTTCGATTGCAGTCTGCGACTTGTGAGCTGAGGGCCTTGCTTTCTTCACCAGGGTCTTTAAAATCCGTAGCTTCATAAAGTATGTCCAAAGGGAGATTTTGGGATCGTTTGCAGTACAATGTCACCAAATTAGATGAACAGTGTGGGTATATGCGCAGCACAGTCCAAAGGGATGGCGTGTTGATGACGAGGTGCCTCCATCTATGGCATACATGAGAGACCAAAAGCTCGAACCTCCTGCCTTTCAACGAAAACGTGACCCCATACTTGAAGATGGAGGCCAACAGTTCCACGGGGATGCGAGAAACGTACGATATTCTCGCAACCTCACTACTTTTCAACTCCCGCAGCAGATAACGTGTCGCTTTCAAAGAATCCTGAACTTGTACTAACTGACGAAGGAGATCTCTTTCTTTGTTTTCCAAAGTCACTATCGCTGGTATAATGGTTGCATACGAGCTATCGTCGTCCGTTCCACTACGAGGTGGCAAGGGTGATCAGAGTAATATAGAACCTGGAGCAAATATATGCCCTGAATACTTGAACATCAAGCCTCAATACGGAATTGAAGAAGAGTAGATCTAAAAATGACAAGGCCTTTACCTTGAAGTAGGTGAATTGAAGCAGATTTTTGCAAGTTCTCTTGTTCCTTGTACGTTGTCCTGGGTGCACGAAGGGCCAGAGTGTTAAGTTGTTATGATAGACGATATATGGAACGTAAATTGACTCACACTGCTAAAGTTGAGTGAGAAGGTTCTGTAAGCGTTCGTGACAAGATTTCTCCAAGATTTTGAGCGCGTCGTGCACGTGACTTTTCTGTTGCACGTGCCTGTCAAAACCAATCTAACCAACTTAAAAGAGCCTCTTTAACTTGCTCTTCATACTCGGAAGACCAGGAAGCTTAACTGGAATCTTGCAAGAAGAACACTGAGATAGGTCCATAATTCTCATCAATCAATGCGAACTCATAGATGGTCAAGCCTTCAATATTTTACCCTGGACCTCTTGCTGGACCTAGACCTGATTCCTTTGTCATCTGTTGCTATATGGCATTTGTGAGACTGGTTCAAGTCGCTTCATCGGCGATCACAAACTAAGAAGATATCAGTCATACGCATTCTGCTTTTTGAAAAAAGTTCCCTCATTATCGCCACCTTCGAGGTATTATTTTTGGTACCGTTGTCGCTATCTCCGTTGAGGATGCCTCCCGCTTCTCTTTTCTATCGATATCGGAGGTGGCGGGGTCAAGTCTGCTGCGAATATCCAGAAACGAATTTTCTGTTATCTTCTCCGGTAATCGGGTGGAGAACGAAGCTGTACGACCAGGCGTGGTGCGTGCGGAGCGGTTCGGATTTGACGAACTTGAAGGGGAAGTACTTCACTACTGAGAGCGAGCATGGGAGCTCTTCTCGACATGATAACATGAGTTAATGAACACTGTAAGTTTTACGTATAACATAACTTTTTGAGTCTATCCGTCAAACTAAAGGTTGTTTTCCCTTCCCAACAAACCTGCTGAGCAGGCGTAAGTCCCAAATTTCCATTTCCACATGTACATATGAGTCTCAAAATTTCCAAATTAAAAGGGGAAATATTTGCATTCTAGATTGGTCGATTTTTAGGAAGCCGGCACAATGCTCACCACATGAGTAATTAGAGACATTGAGTGAAGAGGGAGATATTTCCGGATACCAGTGAGCCCCATTCTACAACATGAAAATTTGTGGATCTCGTCAACAGCTTGTTTAGGACTTTCTTTCATTGTACGTCATAAAGATACACCCATGGGTCACGCTCGAACCGAACACCGCAGCGACCACACAAGGCCGCATTTTCTTCCAAGGACGAATAGGAACTTTGTCTTCATGCATACAACTCTTACTCACGGCTTTACCCATGAGCAGAATCGTGATGTTCCATACCGTAACCCAATTCATATGTCTCCCTAAATCAGTCAATACGTGGGTTTTTCCTTCTTGAAACGCCAAATAGTTCTACCAGGAATGACTATATAACTCTTTCTTGTGGAAGGTAACGATTGGACACTCTTGTATACCAGATGGCACCTTCACTCAGTCGTAGTTTCAGCAGCGTCTTCTCAACGCTCAAGTCGACGAAAGCCGCGTCTGGTGGCGTGAACGGCAAAAATGGCGTTGTGAATGGGACAGAGGAACAGCAGAATGGGGCAGATTCGGTGGACAAGACTGTACCGTATAATTTAGGCGACTTCGCGATAGATGAAGAAAGACCTATGAAAGTCATTGTCATAGGTGCTGGTTACAGCGGCATCACTGCTGGAATCAGGTTCGTATCCAGGAATGCTTGTTCGAGAAAATACTTATTCGGTTGGTAGGTTTCCTCAGCGCATTAAGAACATAGACCTTACGATTTACGAGAAGAATGCTGGTGTTGGTGGAACCTGGTATTCCAATAGGTATCCGGTGAATACTTTCCCCCGATCAAATTGACCTCTACTGATAGATCGACGTTCATTGCGCTGTGTGTCTGTAGGGACTGTCGTGTGATGCACCATCGCATTGTGTAAATATTTGCTTGTTTATATGTAATGAGGTCTGACATTAAATTTGAAGTACCAACTCACCTTCGAAGCGAATGTTGGTACCTCTATCTCGAGATATATAACAGGGTTATTGAATCATATTTTAGACAGAATGGTCTTCTTTCTATGCTCCAGGTCCAGAAATCCGCGCTCACGTACAGCGCATCACGGACAAGTACCAGCTCATGCGTTACATCAAACTTCAGCACGAACTAATACACGCACGATATGACGAAAAGGAAGGGAAGTGGTATCTTAAATTCCGTCGTCCAGCAGTGGATTCCACTGCCGAGCACCCACGCATGGAAGAGATAGAAGATGTTGCAGACTTTGTGTTGTGTTGTGCTGGTGGAATAAGCAGGTGGTCCTGGCCAAATATCGAGGGTCTACACGACTTCAAGGGGAAATTGATGCATTCTGCCGGATGGGACACTGACGACTGGAGGGAGGGTGCGAAGGACTGGAAAGATAAAAAGGTTGGGGTCATTGGCGTGGTAAGGCAAAAAGTGTTCTGGCTCAGCTTCTAAGAGCACATTATGACTGCAAATTTAGGGTTCCTCAGCCATACAGATGGTTCCTGCTCTTCAGCCATATGTCGGCCATCTCTATAACTTTGTTCGTGGCAAGACGTGGCTTGCGACACCATTCTTAACAGAGAAACTTTCTGAAATGATGAAGCGCGATCCGGAGGCTGCAAATTGTGAGTCTTCGTAACCTGTTCTGCACTATATGTGACTCATTTATCGCTACAGATAGTTTTAGCGACGAGGACAGGCAAGCATTCAAGGATCCCATATTTTACAAGGAGTTCAGGCGTGAATTGGAAGAAGAGCTAAACGTGCGTTTTTTCTCTTACGTGTGGTGATTTCTCTTCTCACAATCAGCAGTCAAACCATTCTTCCACGATACAAGGCAGTGAGAAGGAGGCTCAGGCTCGCAAAGCTTTCAGGGAGGATATGCTCAAGCGTCTTGAGAAAAAACCGTGGATCGCTGACCACAGTACGAGTTCATGATTATCCCTTTTAAGATTCAATTATCCAGTTTAAAAATAGTCACACCCGATTTCCCGGTGACGTGTAGGAGGTTGACTCCTGGTCCCGGATACCTCGAGGCGCTCACTGAAGATAATGTTGGTTCTTTTCTTATGATAAGCGTGCATATGACTGATTTCAATTGACTTTATGTAGGTGGACTTTGTTCCCAAGGACATCAAACGGGTCACTCCGACTGGCTTGGAAACTCCCGATGGTCAACATTATGACCTTGACATCCTTATCTGTGCTACTGGTGAGCTTCTAGTCGCATTGTTCCCCGAAGGTTCCTAAACTTGGTGCTGTATACCTGGCAGGCTACGACACTGATTTCCAATATCCTTTCCCTGTCATCGGGAGAGGCGGAAGAACGTTACAAGACCGATACAAACCACACCCAGAAACATATCTCTCCCTCTGCACCGATGGTTTTCCGAACTGGTTTAATAGTCTTGGGCCAAATTCAATCATTGGGGCCGGCTCATTGCTCATAATCATTGAGCGTGCAATCGAATATGCTGCTGCTGCCGTTTTGAAGATGCAGCGCGAAAGGCTGAAGAGTATCGAGGTAAAGAAGGAGGCTGTCGCTGATTTTGATCAGTACCTTGAGCACTACTTCCCGAAGGTAAGTTGTTTAACTCATGGACGTTGCGGTGAGACTGAGATATTTGTAGACCGTCTACAGTGCTAAGTGTCGCTCATGGTACAAAGTTGGAAAGGTGGAGGGTCGCGTAGTTGGTCTCTGGCCAGGATCATCTTTGCATGCTGCACGAGCATTCGAACGTCCTCGCTGGGAAGACTACAACTATGAATATCTCGGTGATGTCAAGAATCGCTTCCACTGGCTCGGAAACGGGTATACCTACAACGAGAAACATATGGTGGGCGACAGTGAGTATTTGGCGGTAGTTTTGTTATCATTACATTGCATTTATGACGCTTTTTACAGGGGCATGGTATCTTAGTGACGAAGAAGTGGATTTCCCCCCAGGTGTGTTGTGTTTTTATTTTTCGCTGCTGTGTTTGTCAAATGACACATTCCCTACTTAGTGCCAGTAACTTAAAGCTTACATACTGGGATAAGTCTGTTCGACTCGAGAGATGATTTATTGTAATGATGGATGTATTGTTTACTACGCTTTGATTCCATGTAAACACTTTTCTTATAGGTAGCCTTGACCAGCAAAAACTACTAAATTCGTACAGTCACTGACTGCCATTTGAGACACCAAAATTAGACCGTCTCCTGTTGCAAAACAACGCGGACCAGACTGAAGCAGCATACCGTTACAATAAAGATCAAGTGCATATAAAATTTCTAGGCTAATCAGTACTGTCAATGTCAATAATGTATGGGTGAACTGCGAAAAATATGAGTTGTTATCAAGTTACCACCTTCCTGGGTGACAACAACAACCGGTCCGGGCAGGTCTACGCGCAGGCTTTCACAGCCCCTGTTGCTGTTTCGAGAGAGGAGGATGAGTGCTAGGGAGTCGATGGCACCAACACTGACGGATCTGATCCTTGATCCACTGTAACCACTGCGAAAAACCTGAGATTATGAACCATGAGAATGTCCCGAAAACTCGGTCATTTCCGGCACATTTCAATCGAATCTTGCTCTGGATGTTCGGTTCTGGAAATCTACACAAAATCTGTAGGTTTCCTGCACATTTCAACTAGATACTCAAGAAGGACTTGGTCGTTTTCTAGAGTCCTTTGAGTTCGCATCAACATGATTGATTATTTTAGTATTTTAGTTAACTTGTAAATAGAATAACTATGTTGGTCTCGACAATAAACTAAATTATTATTCTTCATATTACACCACCAACTCAAAAATGACTTCCCTTACTCAAGACAAATTCAAACAATCTGAAATATCCACTCAACTTGTCCTGAATGTCTTAGGTTCATTTGATGTTGGCCTATAATCAGGGTCATCCTCATTGTCAGACATAGCGTTGATGATGAATGCTGCTAATAAAACTAAGTGAAACTACAATAGATGTTAGTTTAAGGTGATCTCTAATAAATGTAATGTAACATACCTTAGCCGCTGCCCGAGAGGCTATAGAAACGACTGAGGTATTCCTATACTAAACCCCCTACTACTTATAGTCGGAGGTGCTACTCGCTACAGTATAATGACTCCTAGGAGGACAATGGTTACTCCATGGAGTGGTGGCTATGCTCCATGGAGAACAATGGCTGCTTTGGCAGAGACCGGGTTTATCCGGTTTTGTCAGCTGCATCATATTTCGGGTCAGTGTATGCCGATAGAGGCCATTTGCGTTTGCGTTGGTCACATTTCTAGCACAGGTAAGCTTATAATTGATTCTTATCAATTCAAACTCACTGATTGTGCACGGGAATTTCTGTGTGTTTAGATGTAACAACCAAGAGTTAGTTACTCTGGCGCACACAAGAACACACTATAAAGAAGATGTTGAGGGAGTGGTTACCCCTTAAGCTGCAGAGAGTTTGTTGGTATACAACAGGAGGACTCGCTGAGGAGTCTCCTGGATCTATTGGGGTATATATACTACTACAGGTTGTTTGTACATGTGTACTATACAGTTGATGAAGGCAGTGGCTGATGATGTCATAGGGTCTAGCCCGTATGGCCAGCTCCACTGCGTGAGAGAGTTAAGTCTAAAAGTAAAAGAAAGGCAACGCAGCGCGAGAAAGGGAAATGCCGCGTGGTACTTAAAGTATAAAGTTAAAGCGGAGAATAAAAAGGAAAGGAGATGTCCGGAAATTGTGTTATCGTAACACTACCCCCCTTCTAAGGCTCGACTTCCAGGCGAGACCAAATTCCGGAG